TGCTTTGCTACATTTTTATTTAGGTTATTTTTATAACTTTTTCAATATTTCTTATGTAATTTTAGGTCATGCTCGGTTAATTTAGTATACTTTCTGTACAACAATGTAAGAAGATAATTAATTTGGGTGATTTGGTGAGAAGCCAACTTTATCACTGTGACAACTTATTCACAAATTCAGTATCATGAGTGTCCAGCCGTTGACGTTGTGCAATAGGCCTACATTGATAGTGTGACACAATACATTCTGAGGAAAGATATAAAAGAATACACTGGTGAAATGTCAATTTTAACGCTGAATAATAAAAAGAGCCTTCGTTAGGAGGAGCAGCCATGTGGAAATTCAGTTTGTCAGCTACGCAGACTTCATGTAAACCACATTACTAACTACACATACATACTCAAGTCAAGTTTTGAATTTATACTGCAGCAGTGAACACTATTTCAATAATTCGGACTGGAAACTCTAGAGCAAATTTAGCCGTAGTTATTGATGGAAACAGCGTGAGGCTTCATTGATAAAATACTGATAGTGTGGCTTCCGACGGGAAGACGTTTACAGACGCCGGACGCCAGACAAGAAGGTCATTTTTTTCAGTGAAATTATTGTGCAAGTAGCAACTTTCTTTAATACAATCTGGGAATTTTTTTTATCAGATTGGTAAAGGAGCTCACCTTTTTATGCCCCAACTTTCTTAAAACCCATTCCTGATAAAATATTCGGTCATAATGTCGATTTAGCGTTTTTTTATTAAGCGAGTGAGTGAGTTTAGTTTTACGCTGCACTCAGTAATATTCCAGCCATATGGCGTCGGTTTGTAATAATCGAGTCTGGACCAGACAATCCAGTAATCAACAGCATGAGCATCGATCTACGCAATTTGGAACCGATGACATGTGTTAACCAAGTCAGCGAGCCTGACAACCCGATTCCGTTAGTCGCCTCCTACGACAAGCATGGGATCAATATTCTAACCCGGACTTTCACGGTGTTAAGATACCTATAACATATATATAGTCATAAAGATTCTAAATGATTGTCGTTTGTTGCATACACCTAAATCTGTAACGTGAAGATACATAAGAGTGAGTGAGTGAGTAAACATTTAACGTCACATCGGCAATATTGAAGCCATATCGTGACGAGAACAGTTTATATCAAAATTCAAATCAATAAATGTATAACGTAAAAACCTGTCATCGAAGGACAGTAAAACTAGTAGAATATCAAAGCTCTCAATGTAAAACTAGTACGCAATCATAAAAATATATCACGAGAGACAACAGTACAACAGGAGAACGGGCTATAGATCACCTGCAACCACAGATTCATAAGATTCAGTGCAGAAAAATATACATAAATGCATATTATACCTACGATCTTGTTTCTAAAATGCATCCAAATGTTGTGGTGAACAAGAAGAAATATCACAACTGTTGCATTCCGGGCTCCCGCGCCCTGGGTATAAACGGGCCTGCATGACAAACGCCGGTTATATAAAGCCACATGAGTACCCCGATATGATTTTAGGTGTTCAATAACCGTTTCAAGAACATTCATGTTCATCATACCCTTCAAAAAGAGGAATTAAGAAACGCTTAACAGTGTCTGTCGGTGTAAATTTGACACCAACGAATATGACTGACTGACTGAGTTTGGTTTTACGCCGCTTTTAGCAATATTCCAGCAACATCACGGCGGGGGACACCATAAATGGGCTTCACTCATTGTACCCATGTGGGGATTCGAACCCGGGTCTTCGGCGTGACGAGCCAACGCTTTAACCACTTGGCTACCCCACCGCCCCCAACGAATATGAAGACACTTGACACTCCTAGTAAGACATTCTTTCCCCGAGGAAACACTCTTCCAGGCCATCTTCATTACATCATTTGCGTGACCATAATCGACATGGACGAGCAATAACAAACAAGGTTCACATAATCCCAGCTGATCTATCTTGGTTCGCTGTCGACTTAGGACGATGGGAATCAGATGTCGTCATTTTGTCGGACCCATGCTAACCCAAATGTACCGCCAACAACTAGTTTACGTTTACGTTCGATTGTGTCAACTTGCATGAAAATGTTTTGCAGCAAAAGTGGTTCGCAATATGCACCTTGTGAGCAAGGACATTGCCGATTTTAGGCCATTTGTTTTTAGACGGTAATTTGCATTTTTTAGCTTAATGAAAGGTGAGGTGAAATTGGGAGTAACGTCGTGCTTGAGAATATTTCGCTCATATGAGGATGTGTATGTGCAGCTGGTTTTATAGTGCTAGCCCACTTAGATACCATGCCGCAGTGAAGCATGAATACCCCACTCAGACGCATTATACTGACTCCGAGCCGAACAGAAATTGTAGTCATTAATGCCGAGCGCCAGGCGGGGACCAACAAGTACCATATTTTAACGTCTTTTGGTATGACGCGGTCGGGGATCGAACCCCGCGACCTTCCGCTCTCCGGGCAGACGCTCTAACCACTACACCACGGAGGCGGTCTAACTGAAAGAATATCATTATGCCACGACTCATTGCTGCAAATCGAAACATTGTCATTGGACATCTGGGGAGGTTGGGGGAGTCGAAATCTGCTGTGGACGTCCCCCAAATGTTCACCAGAGTAGCATCAAAGTTTATGGGACCTATATCAACAAAGCACTCTTACGCACGATCGGCCTCTCAGCAGTAGACCTCGGAATACCACTGCATGCCAGGATAGGTACATTATGGTACTTATTTTTGCTGAATCGGAATGTCACAGCAACTGCAAGTGCAGTGTGTAGTTTGAGGAGAGTGTCGGCGCAAACAATTCGTAATCGTTAAAGAGAAGCTCGACTTCGAGCCAGAAGATCCGAGTGTGGTCCTGTGCTGCGACGACTACATCGACGTCGACGGATCCAGTGGTGCAATACCGTTCGATTCTGGAATCTACAAATCTGTCGACGCGTATATGGTTCAGTGACTAGACGGAAGCGTACGTGTCTATCGACATCGAAATAACGTTTTGCCAATAATTGTGTCGCTAATATCCTAAACGCAGACACTTTGTGCGCCTTCAGGGCAGTTTAACTAAGTACCGATTCGTTCGTACAGTATACACTGATCCACAGCAACTATACTAACAATCTCGTCATTGAATCGGTTCTGCTGTGGACAGTGTGTTATCTCCCGCTAATAGCTGGTTAATAACATTATCTCAAAATAACAAATCTCATCCGAACAACATGCTTTAGGCCTGATCGTGGTAGAGATCCAGTATTAATGCGCACGTGTTTTCACCATGAGATATTTTAAATTGAAAACCATTATAGTATATTTTGATGACGGTTTGATGCGCGCGCACACACACACTAATGTGAACATGGTTTCCATGACAAATTTGCCTCTTTTGAAATTTTTACCCCCACGTGTATCAGTGTGTGGGTTTGAGTGAGTAAGTGAGTGAGTGTACATCATTGTGAAGAAGGAAGACACCATCATCTGTGATACGTTTAGTGAGTATGTGTAAGTGCGAGGTAGGAAATTGGCTCATTTGACTAGGATGTCAATAACACCATAGTCAGTATTTTAGGTGAAGTGTGTTTAAGACTTATATACCAATGATGGTTATTGTGTGATCATAGTCAGCACAGTAGCTGCACATTACAACCTGTAGTCAAGTATGGCAGTAATGGTATGACCGCCAACAATCGTGAGGGACGATAAAGGTATGAAAGAAAATTTCTAAGTCAACGTTTTCATCATTAATTCATAAAACCGTGAAACATCATTCACACAATGGGGCATACTGCATGTGTATCTCCAAATTGCGATTTAAGGGAGTGTGTTCATTCTGTACAAATGTTATTACGGTAAGAAATGAACTATTCTTGTCTTTCAAAATTTGTATAAGCTTTGAATTCTAACAACTTGAAGGTATAATCAACATTTAGTGTTACATCATTTAAGCTTTGACAACAAAAACTAAAACAAATCTGACAAGCACTTAACTGTTTGTTCTTTGTTCGGATCCTGTATCGCGCAGTCATTCCCCGTAAAGAGGTGCAGACTTTCGACACGCCATAAACCTTGTGTTGATCTCTCAAATTATGTTTCCAGGTTTAATGTTTCACGTCTGAGACCTATCTCGCTTCGGATCAATGTCCTTCGATATTATCATGACACGCCGTGATATATACTGTTGACAGCGGTCTCCAGTTCAACTCACACACTCACAGACCCTATTTACTACAGGCTGATTGATGAACTAATCGTTGAACCAGCGGTGTACTGTGCATTGAGTTCATCCGTTTGCGATGGAATTCAGCATACTTATAAGACAGAGAACATATGCCGAGTGCATCGCTCAAAGACTACTCACACAACACAAATAAGGCTACAAAAAGCTCTTGTTTATTTTCCAAATAGTTTCCACAAGTAGAACATGAAAGAGTGTGAAAGTAGGGTTGTGTCAAGAGGGAGAATATCCTAATTACTATAGAAGAATGGGAATTAATTTGATATTTTCCCTGCAACATGTTTATCTATACTAATCGATACAATCATGTTTGTTTCAGTGAGTCAGTGAGGTTAGTTTTACGCCGCTTTTAGCAATATTCCAGCAATATCACAGCGGGGGACACCAGAATATTTGTTTCAGTGAGTCAGTGAGGTTAGTTTTACGCCGCTTTTAGCAATATTCCAGCAATATCACAGCGGGGTATATGTGAATAGGATGGATAAAAATGTATGTTAATACCAAGGTTATAAGAGAATACAAAACGCACGCCATGTAAGTATAGAAAAAATATGTACAACATTCACGCTTCATGCCCCCTGTTGCATGTCAGTATGCCGCTCGGTCTGCATCCATGAAAAGGCGAATACCTTTCTCATGAGAGAGCATCCATGAAAAGGCTGATACCTTTCTCATGAGAGACATGTTGTGTGTGCATTTGCATTGCACGAAATGAGTAATGTGTTCGTAAAAGTATAGTTTGTATTATTCAATAAAAATACTATTCAAATTGAATAATTATATATTATATCATATATTGAAGAAAACAAAACAACCGGTGCACCGTGGGATAGTGTTTGGTTATACATCTTACCATTCTTTAGGAAACATGAATGAACTGCATTCAGTTCAAACTTACTGTTTGTGTGGACCAGGTCGACAGACCACACGTGTCAATAGCGGTTAGAGTAACATAAATCTCATCAAATCCCCGATATTGCGAATTTAAAGTCAGAGTGATTTCATCATTCTCTGTTAACAGCTTGTCTACAATATCGGCGCCTCCGAGAACTGTTCCAACGTGAACTTCATACTTCAGGTCGTCCCAGGGAGAAGCAAACATATTCCGCCAGGTGACGGTCAGTCGGTCGCCAGTTTTGACCACAGACAAACGGCCAGAAGCTGTGGGAAGATGTTAAACACGTGAATATTGTCATTCACCATTAACTTTACGAAAACACTAACGGAATGTGATTAATACAGAACCATAATTTTAGATAGTGTGACTTATTTTATCACGGTTTTTGAGCAATATAATGTAAGATATCTGGTATAGACATGCATTTGTTTGGCACGACTAAGCTGTTTTACAGCACAAACCACACACCTGTTATCGCTGGAGGAAGCCCATGCACCGTGAAGTTCAACATAGTTGTCTCTCCGTGTGTTCCCATCCCGTCAATAGGATAAGTGAGGGCATGATATGTCGATCCATCCTTCAGTGTTACACCCACTAATGTGGCCAAGGTGTACTCCAGATGGACGGGGACGACATTCTGCTGTGTCAGCGTATCTCCCTCAATACCAATCTGAAACACCAGCAACTGCTGTAAGTACTGGTTTACTGTAGCTAGTACCCCAAGTACTGTTTTACTATTGCAACCACAGGAAATACTGTTTAACTATAGCTACTACTGTAAGTACTGTTTTACTGTAGCTAGTGCTCCAAGTACTGTTTTACTCCTGTACTGTTTTATAGCAACTACTCCAAGTACTGTTTTACTATAGCAACTACTCCAAGTACTGGTTTACTATAGCAACTACTCCAAGTACTGGTTTACTATAGCAACTACTCCAAGTACTGGTTTACTATAGCAAACTAGTGCTCCATGTACTGTTTTTACTATAGCAACTTGGAATGTACTGGTTTACTATAGCTACTCCAAGTACTGGTTTACTATACTACTCCATGTACTGCTACTCCAAGTACTGTTTTTTACTATAGCAACTACTCCAAGTACTGTTTTACTATAGCAACTACTCCAAGTACTGTTTTACTATAGCAACTACTCCAAGTACTGGTTTTAGCAACTATACTCTGTACTGTTTTACTATAGCAACTACTCCAAGTACTGTTTTTTTACTCCTATAGCAACTACTCCAAGTACTGTTTTTACTATAGTACTGTTTTACAACTACTCCAAGTACTGTTTTACTATAGCAACTACTCCAAGTACTGGTTTACTATAGCAACTACTCCAAGTACTGTTTTACTATCCAAGTAGCTAGCAACTACTCCCTGTACTGTTTTACTATAGCAACTACTCCAAGTACTGTTTTACTATAGCAACTACTCCATGTACTGTTTACTATAGCAACTACTCCATAGCAACTAAAACTGTTTTACTATAGCAACTGGTTTTATAGCAACTCAAGATTATGATATTTATCAACTACAGACGTATAAAGCTGCAATGATTGATGGTTTACGTTCCGTGTTTTCTGATTTTCTGAAGATATTCAGTTTACCACTGTTTTGAAATGTCGGCTGGTTTTGTCCCATCGGAGTCGGACTTTCTCCTGACTCTGGTGACACATATCCCTCTCACTGTACACCGACTGACTTTCTCTCAGGACACTGAAGCCAGGAACTGATGTCTGGTTCCTTGTCTGGACCACTTCAACTCCATCCGACGTCATGGCCGCCGCCAGCCCCGCCTTGTTGAAGCACCGGACTGTGGTGTAGACTGTCACAGATGACGAGTGGATCTTAGAGGCGATGTCATGTTGGGCTGTGGACTGACCTGGGGGGATCCTCTCAAACTGTTTCATGTCGCTGCTGCCTCGTGTCCTCCCTTGTCATTGAACAAGATACTAGTACATGGCGTACGTACAAGAAATGGTTAAGATGTTTGTATATATATGAATACATTAGGACTATGTTTAAATACTGTGACGCCAAACTCGCTACACGTGGAACTGTTTCCATCTACATTCCATATAAATCTCAAACAATGTCCATTTACTACAGTAGTGAAGACACGCTTCATCCATAAAATTTAATTATACCGTATGGTTAAGTTTGGATTCCTGATTACACATATGTCAACCACATATTTTATCATTTGTGGCTTGCAAATGTCAGGAATTCCCTGAAATATATTTCATATTGAACATTCATATTGTATTGATTAATTTAAGGATTGCCTGAATTTGTGTCTGACATAAGATGTTTACTCTTTGAAAGTTACCACGAAGTGCACGTCTTGTTGCCATGGATCTTTCATTCCAGCGACTTTATGTTAAACAACACAGAAAATGCTAGCGTTTAATATTGTTGGCAATGAAGTATTCCACGTACCAATAGCCCAGTCGCAGTGTTCTACACCTGATTCTTCATCTCTGACTTGCCAGTAGACACTCACCACACCTGATGTCTGATAGTCTTCATCTCGTCCTGGAACAAACGTAAACACTCAATCTGTGGCAATGAAGCAGCTAAATTACCACGTTACGAAGAACTCTTTCAATTATTGCATTTGATGTAATATTAATCCATCAAGAGTTGTAGACCTGCACGTTAGTTTTTATTCATCTGACATATATATAAATTTCAAGTTTACCATCCAGACCATCACTGATGAGGTCGAACTGTGGTGCAGTCATGTCTACTGTGATGGCGTCAGAGTATGTCACAGCTGTCAGCCCAGCAGCATTCGTCGCCATGACAGTAATATAAACAGTGGCGCCATGGAGCAGTTGCACATTAGACAGTGTTCCCTGTGTGGCTCGACCTAGGTCCGTGTAGCCCTGGACATGTGTACCACCTGGAGTTGTGCCTGGAACACAAGGACCTTTTGATTACACGAACGCACAGAGTATGATATGATAAGTAACTTATACACGGACTAACATACTCAGGAAAACGAATAAGGGACCACCTGAAAGTACAAGTGTTCCTTTATTCTTTTCCAGGTTTCTTCACATGATTTGTGTTGTACTGTGGGTGAAATTCTGGAAAAGAATAAAGTAACACTTGTACTTTCAAGTGTTCCCTTATTCGTTTCAATGAGTATATATATCCTCATTGCGATAACGGTACACTGAAACAATGATGTGTTGATGAGCTCCTGAAAGATTAGAAAGAACTGTCTACATTAGCGAGTGAGTGAGTGAGTGAGTGAGTGTGTGATGGTACGCTGATTTTAGCAACATTCTAGCAATATCACGGCGGAGGACACTATAAATGTATTTTACACATTGTACCCACGACGTGAACCAAAGCCGGGAATCTATTTTGTCACAATTTCAGATCTGGTCCTATGTCAGAGATTATGCTTTCCTCCCCATCCCCAGTGATAGTCGTTGAAACAAATACGCAATATTCAAGTTAACATATTATTCTTGGATCTATAATATCGAACATTTACCATCTCACTAAACTACACAGTGTTGCATTTACTAATTCAGAAAAGTCAGTTGACGTAATGACAATAAATCTAGTTACCAATCGCCCACTTGTACTGTGTAATAGGAGATTGTAGGTCCTCGAAGTGCCAGGAAACATGTAGAGATGACCAGTGTGACAGGAACACAGAGTGGACCACCAGATGCTCCTCGGTGTCCACACTGTCCTGACCAGCAACATAGTCCACAGTCTGGACACTTACATGGTCTAGTACAAACTCCATCATCCTGGACGATGACGTTATCTTCAGCACTAGACTGGTATCTACGGCTGTGAACCTGTATGTGTGCTTGTTCCACAGGACGACTGAGTGATCTCCGACACTGCAGGTGCCTCTACAGAGGTTAGGGTCCAGGGTAAAGCTGAAGACTTCACTTCCTATTGTAACTATTGCATCAACTGATCTGTGGGTGTTGGAAACAGTCTCTGGGTATCCAGCATGCAGAGTCAGCTTGTACTGCCTCCCAACCTCAAGACCTGAGATCATTTGTTGGATGCTTCCAATTACGGACACAAACTTATGTCCATCTTTAGCTAAAGGTGAATCCGGCGCCTGAACCTTGATACAGGACGCTGTGTCAGTTTCCCATGATGTTGGTATGACGAGGCTGCATTTCGTGGTAGTACCAATTATATCGTCTACCTCGAAAGATGGGTTCTTAACCAGATTGTCTCCAAGATATGCTACATCCTTACGTTCAGGTGGAGATGCATCAACAACGACTCCATCAGAAACAACAACATCTGAGGTGTAACCAACAGCATCCACAGCATACACCTTGCTCCATATTCTTGCACCTGAACACAAGACAATGTGATCATGTGATAGGTATATACGTATTATCCCATATCTAACATAAGTGGCACTAACATAATGTAGCGTTCTATATTCACTGACCATTTACGATTGGAGACAACAGCGACCTCCTAGAAGATGTGTGTAGTCCTATATCCAACCAGTCCAACACACTGCAATCTGATGTGTCGTTGCTTGTCCCCACACACCAAAAATACTTGATTATTGTGGAGTCTGTGTCCGAGAAGCCGTACCAGGAGGCGGATGCTTCGGATGTTGAACTCTGGTAGTCCAAGTCATGGATGCCTGCATCAATATTCAACAGTATGAAAACATGCATAAAAGTTTAGTATACTGTATATATCATACCTCTGTTAATACCATATTAAGAGAGACGAAATGATCTACAATATTACGAACCACGTCCATCCTTCACTCTGCCTGCCACTGGAGGCATGACGTCCACCTGTACTCCATCAGAATAGGCCCAGCTGACCAGACCAGCCTTGTTGTAAGCCAGGACACTGCAGTAGTAGACGGTGTTTGGAAGTAAAATCAGACCTGTCGCTGTATAGCTGGCGGAGGTCAGGTCCTCTGATTTGTGGATACTGTGACCTGCATCCGAATTGGAAAGTTACACGATGGTCTGTTTAAATAGGTGATTGCAATTAAATGTCATTTGGCAAATTTAGTCAAGAATGGGGTCCTCAAAATTCGACAGTTATACGATTGTCTGTTGAATTAGTGAATTGCAATTAGACGAAATTCGTCAAATTCAGTATTCAAAATACCTCCTTGCACAGTGCTGATAAAGACCCTGTATCTGAGGATGCCGCTCTGACCCTGAAGGAACTTTCCACTCCACTGCACAAACAGAGTTTCGTTCTGTGTCTGAAAGTCTGTATCTTTGGTGTCAGTTGGGTGTGCAAGCTCTTTCACCTGTGGTAACACAGCAGCGCTAAGTCACTCCATCTAAACACATTCACCTTCTACAACACTGAAACCAACAGCAGCTCTGTAAAGACATGTGAACAATATAATAGCAGATACTTACAGCTTGGCCCATCTTGACTGTTACTGTGGGTGGTGCTGTTTGGATGAGGACGCCATCCGATTTGAAGATGCTGTTGGTTTTGTTATACCACGCTCTCACAAAGAAGTAATAGTTCACTCCAGATATCAGAGACTTGCCTGCAAATCATCATGACACGTATAACAGCTGTTTACGTATATTGAGATTGTTGAAGTGCTATGTCGATTAGTGATTGAATTGATACCAACTGATTAAAGCTTCAATATGAGCATGTTTCTGTCGTGTGAAGTTGTGCACAAGTATGATTCACTCTCACCTGCAGGTAATGAGACAACAGCAGATGTTTGTAGACCTGCATCAAACCAAACCCTGTCGGCCGTGGCGTCAAACACTCCCATTGGCTCATCACTCTCTCCTCCGCCTATACTGTATTCATATCTGTTCCAAAGGACAAATGTTACAGACAACAAATAACAAATAACACGTGTCAGGATGCATCTGTGAACTCATGTAAATGTTACAAAGTATGCATAGTGTGTATAGAACGGCTGCTTACCGTGAAACAGATGATCCCCCTGACGAGTCAGTCCAAGTGGCAGCCATGACGGTGTTGAAGAGACTGACGTCGACGTCATTAGAACCACCCGGAGACATGACGTCCACCACGTCTTTGATTGTGATGTTTTGATCTGCTCCATCAAGATGCAAAGGGGTTGAAGTTTTCGTTAGAAAACGGAAATGAGGGTTTCTAGCAGCTAAATCCTTCCTGCTCTGTTAACCTGTTGTGAGTTTATGTACTGGCCATAAATGCAAGACACGTGTAAGAGATCTACAGCTACGAAAATAACTGAAATGTGATATTAGGTCCTAACCCTTGTTCTGTTTGGTTTCCCGTTACTCCACAAACCTGTTTTGTCTTGTGCACATGCTTTACTGGCAGAACAGGTACCGCCCTGCACTGCACAGACACAATGTCCCTCACAGTTGTAGGCCTGGCACCTCCTCACCAGCCACAGAGTAGAGTCTGCCTTCAGGACCAGTTCAGCGTGGTAGGCATCACTCTGTAGTCCAACCTAGAAGTAGAATTGGATACAATCATGCTTTGAGTATAGGATATCTTCAGTTTAAAAAGTTTAAGGACAGTGTCAAAGAACCTACCCCATTCACACCCCAAATAGCTACAAACACAGATCCTGATGACGGCAGGGCACGACTGTGTACTGTGAAACGTTGCAGGACTCCTTCATCACCTTTGTTAACACCCGAGTCACTATGGAAGACCTTCTCCGGTAGTGTACCCTGCAATAAATAAATGTGTGTGTATGTTCAAGTTGGATCAGTATTTCCTACTTGCACATTTACACCGTGTAAAATTGCACGTAGAATGAGTGAGTTTAATTTAACGCTGCACTCCGCAATGCTTCAGCTGTATGGCGGTCACGTATAAGCAACTCTTATTTCTGTATATGAGTTATGCGATCTTTTTTGTCTCTTATAATCATCTCACCGTATTGTAATCTGTTCCGAATTCATGAGATCCTATTGTTACAAGGTAATGGTCCACCCCTGAATGTAGGTCAGAGAAGCCAAGCCACGCCAGGTTCAGACTGGTCCTGGTCCAAGTCATCCAGCCAGTCTGATGTCGTGCAAGTTTCACTGCATGGTCGGTTTCTATGGCGAACGTACCTGCAAATTAAATATTATTTCATCATCATCATTGTCATCGGATTTCTAATAAGAGTAAAATTACCGTTCCGCAATCTGTTCCGTTGGACCACAACAAAATCATACCTGTATTTGGTTTAGAGCTGTCAACCAAAATGTTGTTTGTATGTGCCGATACACAGAGACCCGCCATATTGCACGCGGTAACCTTCACCTTGTATTTACTTCCATCATGCAAGTCAAGGTTCACAAAAGTGTATTCTCGAAGTAAACCAGGAACCTGGAATACAACATACATGGATGAATAGATGAACGTTCAGTATTTCTGTGTACTGACAATATTTCGTGGTCACTCTTCAGCTTGAGTGAGTGAGTTTAGTTTTACGCCACACTCTGCAATATTCCAGCTATATGGCGGCGGTCTGTAAATAATCGAGTCTCGACCAGACAATCCGGTGATCAACAGCATGAGCATCGATCTACGGAATTGGGAAACGAAGACATGTGCCAACCAAGTCAGCGAGACCACCCGATCCCGTTAGTCGCATACGATTAGTACCGTTGCGATAAATATGGGTTGCTGGAGACCAATTCTAACTGAATGCCAAATATACTGTGTTTATATCTATATAAGACAAACCTTTACCTCAAGATTAGAACTATCTATCTCTCCAAGCTGGTGAGATGATAACGAGAGGTACTGGCGTTCTATAGCGGACTCAACGTCTTGGAATTCCCAGTGTAGACTCAGAGCTGTCCGACTGACTGTAGTGTTGGGAACAAGGGACATTAAACTTCTCACTGTCGGAAGTGTAACCACAATGGGAACGCTGTCATCCACCAGTACCCCATTAGACATGGCCTCTGAATAAAGCCCTGAAACATGATGCAGTGTTTGTCACGATTCTGACTACCTCTTACATCTACAAGTCGACTGTTCTCGTCAACCGTCTGCAACATACCTGCTTTGTTGAATGCCCGGATAGTGTTGTACAATGTCCGTCGTACGGGCAACTGTTGGTCATGTGGCAGGGTGTGGAAGATGACCTCACCCAAGGCTGCAGTGCGGGCTGAGAGAATGTCGTCAGCTCCTGGTTTTGTTCCGACACGCCATTCATAGTAATCTAATCCTGATTCAGGGTCGCTGAAGCCTCGCCACTTGCAACCGATGAATGTCCTGTGAAACATACCAACTCTCTGTAAACACTGCATAGTTCCAAAGTAATTTAATGATATTTCCGTCGAGATAGAACTGGTTCTACTTAATCATTTCTACTAAATACTCTATTGTAATACCAAATACTCCTTATCACCTCGTCGCCTGGAACTGTATGTCCATGTCGCCTGTACCATCCTGCACTGTTCCAGGAACTGGTGGGGAGCTGTCCAGGATCACACCGTCTGAGGTTGAGGAGCTGCTGCAGAGGCCTGCTGTGTTACAGGCTGTCACTGTGGTGAAGTACTTCACTCCTGGGGAGAGCATGATGTGCTGTAGGCTGATATCTGAAATTGTATTGTATCGATATGTTTTTCTTGACATTATTTTAAAAAAAGCACAGTCGAGAAAGCAATGAACAATCCTCACATTGATGTAGCCCTGTCTTGGCTTCTTTCATTTTGTCGTCACATCCTGCGCAGGTTCCGACCTTGACCTTGTAAATGGCGACACTTGAATGAGGATCGTCGAAGCCTTCCCAGTAGGCTGCCATCTCGGAGACACTGGTGATATAGTCCTTGTCTTTGTCATCATGTGAGGCAGCTGACTGTACTCCGTCATAGACGTGGCCAGAAGATGGAGGCGTGGTGTCCACAACCAGAGGTCGTGATGAGGACAGTGTGTACAGACCTGCACCGTTGATGGCCTGGAAGAAGGACATCAATAAGATTGCCCGACATAAGTTAGGACTTCAGACCATTCTTTATTTATTACAAACAAGTTTATATTATTATTTGAATCTTTAAATCAAAGACGATTGTCTGTTTAACTGAGATAGACTAGACTCCTACAACCCAGCTACCTCAACGATCGAGATCTACGAATGAACGAACACTCGGGGATCATTTTGTGTCATGATTATTTGTACACATGAAAGAAAAGAAGATAGAAACGTCCAAAGCTACCTTCACAGTTATATAATAAGAGTGACCATCCTCTGTTTTATTAAGTGTGTCAATGTCCAAACAATCCTCAACGGTCATCATGTACTCTGACACATCAGCATACGCAAGTCTGGTGCCCATAGCAACGCTGTATGACTTTATTCCACTTTCCTCGTCTGAGAAAACGTTCCTCCAGCTGTGGAATATATCAACATTGTTTATGTTCCAGTGTAGAATATTACTCCATCAACATTTGCCTTGAACAGGACATGAAATCAGAAAGGTCGTGTGACTTCTTCAGTGTATGTTTTGTCCACAACTAAAGTAAATATTGAAACCTAAATATTTTGATAATTAATGTGTGAGGATATATTACAAGTATACCTAGCACACAAAGTTTATTATTCTGTATTGTACATTTGTGAATGTTACCCATATAAAACAATTAGTTAAAGAATTCAACACATAAGAATAATAATACAATCAACTGAAAAAGAAATCAGTGTTAATAGGTCGAGCAAGTTTGGCAGCTATATATGAATATTTAACGTTAATCCGACCAGAACTGGACATGTCAGCTTCAATAAGAAAGTCAGTACGTTATCTACAGATGCAGAGTTGTGGAAAATTGCTGCAGTTGTACAGTAATCTCTAGTTCTCGACTGAGTTTGTGTTTAGAATTGAAAACATGTCTTGTAACAAGAACAAATGCAGCCTATGTATTTATTGACTCAACAAGGTCGGGAAAAATATTATGAAATGTATTTTCGTATAGAATGCTAATTTTGTTCGAGAACCCAACATATTAGCATCAACCTGGCCCTTTTTCCTTCAAAGGTTTCTCTGAAAACATCTGTACGAGCTCACATGCCACTTTCTCAACGTTACCAGACATGTATAAGACGAGATGTAATGTATCGTCCCTCCACGTCAATGTGTTGCCCTGTTGGTACTGGAGGTGTGGCGTCGACAAGGAAACCCCCTGATACAGCAACTGTTGTCTTCTTCACAAAATCTGTGGCTGAAAGAAATATTATTAAGAGATAAGACATTTCTTAAGAACTGAAGCATTTTTTTTAATGCATAGCATAAGTTGAATGTATACCCATGATGTATTCATCCTGTGTCCAAGACATTGAAAAATGCATTGATGTCACCTTTGTTAGATTTGAATGAAGGTTTCAAAACTGCCACAATATAACACATATTTAAGTCTGTCACGTATACCTGGGCCTGTGTTCCAAAACATGGAGTTTAGATGAACAAAGCTGAACTTTATCGACCTTCAGCTTACCTCTCACTGAGACATAGTATGTACTTCCAGTCTGCAGGTTGAGCCTGTGTAGAATGTACTTGTTTACATATCCAACACGGGTGTAAATGACAAGATCTTGTCCACCAGGGAAAGTACCTGAAGGTAGAAAACATTTATCTATCAGGAATGTCATACGTTTACCTGAGACAGTGATAATTGTCAAGGAATTAAAATTGAATACGTTATATGGTAGAGCAGCGTGGACAAATTGTTCAGTTCATTACCCACTGCAACTTCATAAAAGGCAATCCCAGCAGCATGAGCAGAGAAACCTTCCTCTTCCACATCAACAAAAGCGGTCCAGCTAATTGCAACTTCTGTTTTGCTAACCTGTACATGAGAAATATATCAATATCAGTGTACTTGCCCAAATCGATGGCTCTACTGTAGTTTCAGCATTGACCTCACACTAACAACCAAGTTACTTTATATGGTGTCGAAACCAAAGGGAACATTATTTAACATGGTTCAGTTAACCTGAAATGTCCCGTCTATGAGATTCTCTATGTTCACTGTCCCCGGTGTAGGTGGAGTCAGATCGACAGTGATGCCGTCACTGCAGGCGTTCACTTCAGTCAGAGGTGATGTCCACTTCTCAAAACGAGTGTTTTTGTCATCAGCATGGATGCACACATAAAATCGCCTGCCGTGTTGTAAGTAGGACAGCTCTGCAAATTCCACGTTGATGAACTCGTTCACTTGAAAAAAAGGAAAAGATGAAGGCATGGATGAATGCGACATCTTTTATAAAAGCCAACACCCTACGTTTTTACGAAATATTGTTAAAACACTAACTCACCCGTGTGTCCACACTTGATGACATCCGGCATGCTACAGGGGTCAGTGACGGTCATCAGAGTCTCTCTCTTGTAGTGAGACGAGGGGTCTAACTGGTCAGCTACCACCACTGCCCAGGTGTAGTTCCTGTGACGTAGAGTCGGCCACACAGCAGACAGGATGTTCTTGTAGGGAGTGTAGTCAGCATCATTCCAGTGACTATTCTGATCAAAGGTTATTCCTTGACCAACATTTTCGTTGTTTGTTCCTGTAATGAATCATAAATGTACCCCTGGGATGTTTCATCGACAGAACATTCAGTTCACTAGCCTTAAAACGTACAATTAACGAGGGACTACACATTTTCCTGAAACTTATTGTAACCACGCACTTACCGATAACATCTAGGACAACTGCAGGCACGATATTTGGAGGGTTATATGCTGCACATTCTTTGACATCTGCTGACACCGTTGTATGTAAACCAACGTGGTTGTAGCCCCTGACTGATACTCTTCTGCACTTGGTAAAGCGAATCAGTTTTGGCAGGTTTAGAGTGAAACTTATCTGAAGACAGAAGAAGAAAGTGGTAGCCAACGCATATACCATTTTGTTCACTGATATCGGAAAGGCATCAAAGGTATACAGAATAGATAAATAGTCCATGAACAATTTTACCTTGTCATCAGCCTCACTTTCAATAGCATCAGCATCCACTGTCTGCCAGTCTATCAACATTTTGTCGTTGTGACTGTCATCTGTAAGACCCCACTGGTATCTGTCCATGACGTCATAAGCTTCTTGTAGTACTTTTATATCAGGATCACGGAACCGAGCCATCTTCACCTGGATCTAAAACACCATGCAATAAATACCATAATAACATAATACATTCAGATGGAAAGAAACGGAACGCTTGGAAAGAAATATGTAACTTGCCTGTGCTTGTCCACTGTCAGATTCCCGATACGTCAGCGATATATTGCCTGGTGTTGGAGGATGTGCTATGACAGTCACACCATCACTGTATATGGGTTTAGAACATACATTCACTACACAGAACTTGACAGCAGCTCTGTAGGTTGTCCCTGGTTCTAGATGAAGACCGCTAGCCACCACCATATCCGATGTTCCAAGGGGCTCAAACTCTCGTTCAATGTCCCATAGGTCAACTATAAGAATAAAAGCTGAATGGCCAAATTGCAACTTTTCAGCAGTTCATTATGCATTTATAGAAACGACGACAACCCTATTGCACTATTGTATATGAGATACACAGTTTACAGTAAACGTTTTGTGGCGTTTATCTTACAATACATCTCTTCTGTCATGTACAATGGTGAAATAATATCACACCAATGTAGAAGGAAGCACATTATGGATTAAACATGACCAGTACTTTACTGGATATAGTTTACCTAATTATGATACATTTCCAGCAGGTAAGTTAACAAGTAAAATTGTTTAATAAACCACTCGGCCTGAGGACAATCGTGACTATGCTAATCTTTTTGTCATCGAGCGATCTTCACATACCAGTTCGAGGAACTTTCTTTTGCAAACTCCATTGTACATCAGGATAACTGAGCAGCCAGTTGCTTGTATCCCAGTGGGCCGCATATGATGAAGTAGATACTTGGTATGTGTTATCTCGTGAACATCTCTGTTAAGACATTCATCAATACATTTAACCTCTCACATAGAAGACCACAAGTGTAGCGACTTTGCATCACACAAGCAATATGTTACTTATATGGCTAAGGATATTATTTCATGAGCGTGAGGGACACACAATTGTATTTTCAAACCGATCGAGGAATATATACAAACACTGACTCAAGTATCGTAAAATCGTGAGGATACACGTTATAAAATCTTCATGAGAGACACTGTTCGTCGGTGCGCTTCGCAAACAAAGTTTGATAAACACATTCTGACGGAGTAGGAATTGCAGAGTTTTCTTATGAATATGTAAAGGATTTTCTTTTTGTTTACTGTCGAGATGTGTCGACTTCCATACTGAATGCCTTGTTGATTAGCTAACGCGGCGACATAGACTGTGACGGCGTTGTGACGTGCATGTTGCGAACCGTATGCACAAAATATCCAGGTAAACGGCTAATATGTGCAAGGCTATACCTTGATCACATGCACAACAGCCTACTAATTCCAGTTCCGTAATATCTCACTCACCGTCTGGTTTACTGCACTTCGGAGAGCACCATTCACTAAAATCAGATTTCGTCGAAAACTCAATTAACTGACAACTAAGAACATAAATTGACTTTCTAGTGGATTTTAGTTCACATTAGTTCAGTTAGCCTAATAAGAATCCTGCGGTTTTATAATTTTTAAAGTGTATCAAAATAAACAACAGAACTTCTGAAACTAATATTTCTAATTATAAAATATTCTTTCGTTCAATAGTGTTTTGTGCTGAAAAGCCATGTCTTTTATCATTTCCCATAGAAACTGTCACACTTGCAGAATTATAGAATTACATGTTAATTTTTTATCGTGTCGGACAATTTGAAACTAGTCCTTATCATACGGTTAAGGTTAAAACATTTGAGTTGCAAAATCTGAAATCATATATTTGAGAATCATTATAATCATAAAGTATATGCAACATTTTAATGCAATTTTTCGTCATCCATGACAACTACAACAAATACCATAATCACTGCATCCTAGGCCATCTCTGACAATGACATCTGTGATGTCAACATTGGGCCTGATGATCGTCACACCGTCAGAGGACACCGTCACGTCTCCGCCGCCATCGGTAGCAGCCACGACAGTCACAAAATACTTCTGAAATTAGACAGAGGCGCCACTTCATTGTACATATACAATCCTGTAAACAATAGAACAAACCATAGTTTGCAAGTGTTTCAATCAACATCTGTTTACCAACCGTTTTCCAATGCAGGCTCAAACCAGTGAAAGAATGTAAGGTTGCACTTCCAACATAGACATGCGCCTGGATATCTGTTGTAAATGGCTGAGACCCAATTCCAACCGTGTACGTAATGGCAGTTATTCCATTGTCAAATCCATACCATCTCGCTGTTAAAGTTCGGGTTGATATTTGGTAGTCTGTGTCATCAGTACGCTGAAAGTATACAGACATATTTATGTCTTCCATGGTCATCACACATACTACAGGGACAGTGTTTTTATCGAGTATATAAAACAAACATTAATAGGAGTCATAGGAGTATATTGTAGTACACGAGTTCATGAGGTAATGAATGATCTACAAACATGTAGATATAAATAATGCAAACAGAAAATAATGGAAAGAAAACATTTGTTGTATAAATAGCAAAAGATTCAAAAGCAAAATGTATCCAGTTGAACATGACAAGAGTTGTACTTATGGGATATAAGAACTAAAATAATGATCTCAAAATATTCAAAGGCTATATCCCTTTCTTTACACGTCAGCATAACACTATCTTTACACCAGAAACTCACGAAACAATAACAGGCTGTATAAGCAATGAAGTGTCCTACTAATCACGACATTTATGACAATACGTCTCGAAGACTATAGTTACTGACTTAATACGTGATGACAGAAATATCCACTATCGACAAAAAGAAAGCTGAATTGTGTTTGAAATATGATTAACGTGATCGACTCATGCATATCATGTAAAATACAGATTATATTAATCACTAGCATAAAATTGTGTGAACCTGTTTTTTTCGTGATATGATATTCAAACACACATTCGCGTTCGTTTGCCGAATACGTGATTAATAACATTAAAGATACACATACCGGTATTGTGAACAAGGATTCTTCTCCAGCTGGAATAACGTCTTCTACTACACCACGTAACGGCGGCATGACGTCATGGACGTAGGGTTCAGACACTGCCACTGTAGACAGTCCTACTATGTTGGTGACTCTGACTGACACAAAGTAGGTGTGGCTGTGATGGAGGTCCCAGTGGAGGTCTGTGAGGGCGACAGCTGTACACGTGGGTGGCGACGTCAGTGTACAACCTCCTCCTGACTGCAGCGTCGTGAAGGGCATTATTGTCGACTTGCCGTCCTTAGTTCCTGACGAACATAACGTGTGTGTAATGGCAGGTTCATAGGCATTTGAAATAAGATGAAGGATATTAGAGCGATAACGACTGCACATACCTACTGCAGCTTCATATTTTAGATACCCAATGTCTGCGAATGCTGTCTCTGGCCAACGTGCAATCAAATAGTTGTGTCTCAGCGTCACTGTCACTGATCCAGTAAATGCAGGGTATCGTGTATACACGGTGACAGGTCCAACAACCTTTAATGAAAACAGTTACATCTGGTCATTTCGTTCATATACGTGTGTTTACGCAAAGAGTCATCAGTCCAAAGAAATTGATGCATATATTCTTCATAAACATACAACGTGATTCTCTTTTGTGCCCTTACTCTGACAGTTGAGATGCCAGCTTTGTTGATGGCCTTGATGGCGATGTAGAACTGTTGCCCCTCACTGAGACGGGGGATGGTAGCCCTGATACTGAGGATGATGATGAGTGGACGTGTAGGGCAGGATATCTGGAGCTGCTTCACCAGAAGGATCTGACATCAGCCCCAGCTCGTAGTCATAGATACCACTCTCAGAGTCACTGCCAGTCCAGTTTACGAAGAGCTGGGAAACAATCAAACACTTTACTGAAAGCAGTGTACAGTTTATAAATAGACGACACATGATCAAAAACTGAACTGAGATACGGATAAAAACGTTGTTACTTGACACAGATAATCAAATACTGATATGATAAGCTGGAGAAAACATTCGTAAGTTTCACAAATAATGAGTAATAAAATATACACAAGGGGTGTACATGTTGGTACTTCATTGCTATCTTCATTAGATAAGGTACTCACGAGGTGTTCCCTGTAGACATAGAGTAAGTTGGTGAAGCTGACAGGCAATGCTGGTAAAGATTCACACTCAGGATTGATCCCAAGTTGCATCCCACTTCCATTGTTGTACCGATGTATTGGAAACAGGGACAGTCTCTTATCACCTACTGGCGTGGCCTTGGAACTGGAGACAGTTACATGATATATCTGTGTGATGCCTAACTGTATACTTTATACTGGAGTATAGGAAACGATATTAATGTTGCTTGTGAGCTACTGATTGCTTATAATGAGGACACTGTTTAACGATAAATAGGTTTCGAGTTATCCTCGTTACCAAATGACTATTTAATTACAGATAGAATTTGATGTTGATGAGACAAACTTGAACTGGTTGTGCGCATGAGACCAAAGTCGGCTAATCATGACGTCGACGTTCACATCGTGAATATAACATAAATTGCGTTCATATCGGGGGAAAGTAGGATTGTCTTATAAGAACATGTGCGTAGCCTTGAGTTCAGATGTAACATCAAAACGCAAATCATTCAGGATAAATTGTCGTTCAAGAATTAAAAAGACGACAATGTTCCTTCCTCTAAATAAGACAATGTCAATTGCCGATGACATCAGCCCCGAACATAAATCCAGAAAAATGTCAGAAAATATTCAATCAGACACAATGCTAATTTTTAATATGGCCCAACAGTCACCTGTTGCATATCCAGTTGTTATCCTTCTGGTATCAGCATGATGTGTCCTGGTAATTATTCAGGCACAATTACAATTAAGTTTTTAAACCTCCGACCGGATTTCATCTTTCGTGGTATCATGTGAAAATGAGAACCATAATTAAGTACTTCCAATAATACTGGAAGTATGACCGTCACACAGGACAGTCACGTATCACAGAATTAGAAAAAAAATACAAAAGAAACGCATACACTTTTCACTAAACTGTTGTACCTGCAACTGCCATCTGGATTGACCACCCGGGTACGTCTCCTGTGGGCGTCGATGAACCACACAGTATTATCTGATGACTTGACCAGCCCCTCCATCACCCTGGAGTCTCTCACTGCCACCTCACTGACACTGGGTGGTGTTGTGTCTACAGTCACTCCGTCAGAACACACTGGGTCAGATGCTTCCAGTGCTCGGTTGAAGGCCACCACTGTCACGTGATACTTGCCGACAGAGGGCGCTGTCCAGGAGGCGGATGTGGAATAGGTTTCCGTGACCTGCATGTGATGAGTGAATGATCCGAAATATTTAGACAGATATGTGTGATTTTTACAAGAGAAAAACAACAACATCATTTCATCATATCTCCGGTACAGAAACACACACACACGCACGCATGCACGCACCACCCATGCACGCACACATCGTACTTCCATATTATCTACATTCACCAAATTTTCCAATTCATCGATCACATGATTGTCTGGTTTGTTTTCAGGTAGTCGTCGCATGGCAGGGGTACTGCGAAAATACTTCCAGTTTTAGGCAACTGTTGTGAATGGAGTATGATACTTGTAGGGCAGGAGATGCTTAGCCGTGAACATGGTGTCATCACTGATTTTCAGTGATCCATTCACGTGACTCACACAGCCAGTTTCCCCTTTACAGCAAACAGAATTTGTTTCAAGGATAGTCAAAACTGTGTATTCTTTAACGCTGACGTTCTATATTTACCTCAAATGAAGATTTATTAACTCCAAATTCATTTGCTGAGAGACAGTGAGGTCCAAATTTATATTGGTAAAATTTGACTCCGCTCTCTTTGTCAAAAAATCCGTCCCAGTGGCTGTAGAGTTGGAGATGCTGCTGGTAGTCCACTTCCGGGTTCCCTAAATTGACCATCTTGAACAACGCCAGGATGAGGGGGCTTGTATCAATTGTCACCTGGACAAGATCGTGGAACAGCATGTTAGGAAACAGATCATGTGTATATTGATCAAAAGGAAATCATATATACTTGTATTCAACGCATAGAAGAGATTTCCATCAATCATACGAAAGTTTCACTTACTTTAAACTCCATCTTTGTTGTAAGCTTGGCGTGGTTTGTCACATTGACCTCTAGGTAGTAGTCAGAGTCATGTGATCCCCTGCTTTTGTTGCTGAATATTCCTCCATGTTGGAGACTGCTGTCTACTACGATGGGCTTTACTTGGAAGTGACGATGGTAGCAGCCTTTGGCTGGCGTACAGTAACAGTTAGCTCCCCTTGGGGCATCAGCGTTGGCGCTCTTGCAGTCAGCAATACTCTGTGTTATTTACATACCAGATATTTTTAACAATACAATTAGCTTTTGAGGCATATTGTCATTAATATTATTGATGATGTCTGACCAACCTCCATTGTCAAATATGTGATAAAGTGTGTTTAACAAGAGAAGTAATGGAGTAAAGCGCATGTTTCATTACCGCAAGAAGTACAACTATGGCATACATAAAACTCAAAACTACTTACACGTCTTTCCCCTTGAGCCGTGACGTCCTGAACTCCATGCACGATATCTAAACCCTGGTATTTATCTACAATACGCCATGACACCGTCTCCAAGCCACTGTGCTCATCGTATGCAATCCACTCCATTCTGAAATTGCATAACAAGGTTTGACAATTCATCACATCAGACCGTTGTCTCGGACATTTAACCGTGATCAAGGAAGTCCACTGTTTTGAGTAGTACTCTGGTAAAATACAGGTCATGTCCCCGATATAAGTCTCAAATGTTTGTTAAAGGGTATCTAAAAACGAACAAAAAATAATACTATTTATGTATAATTATCTATCAATGAACACCATAAGCAAACAAAAGACTTGCGTCATTTCGGAAGTACTTTGGTAAAGATGGACGAAGGGAAAAATACATCTCATGACATGTTTATTTACTTAGTCAAAATATTTATTTATCCAAATTCTTAAAGTGAATCTAGAAATGAACTAACAATAATGCTGCTGAATTACAATAATAAAGTAATAAACGCCATATAAAAACAAGGACTTGCGTCATTTCGGAGAGCTCCTCTGCTCCATGTACACTGATGTTGAGTCGGTCTCCTCTGGTTAGCCAAAGGTTCTCTATGACTGGGGGTGATGTGTCGATGTGGACTGTCACATGTTCTTCAAGGAATTCCCGTCTGATGTCATAGGCTCGTATCCAGAAGCGTACAGTGTCCCCGTCCACTAGTGAGGGTGTTATGGTCTGTGACTGATTCAGACCTTGACTGGTGAACAGGTTATCAGCTGGTGGACTGGTGATGGACGATCCTCCTTGGTGGTCGACTTTGTATGACGACAAGAATCGTGTTACACCTGTTGAACATACATGACCATACTTATTTATCAGAAGAGGGAGATGCTTGGGATTTCAGGGTTAAAAGTTAACAAACAAAACGATTATGAATGGTTCTATATTGCCATTATTAGTTGCTTCGTTGAATAAGTGTGTATACACCAATGATGAATTGTTGTTATCTTGTGATAAATGTGTCATTATATATTAGATTCCAGAACATGTGTATGTTCTATATACACAAGCTGCTAAATTGTGCCAACCTTGAACATTGTTGATGGCAGCCACACTTCTGTCACCCTCCTTATCGTCATAGTCCGAATTGATGTCACCAAGAGAAGCCACGCCGTGGAGCCACTTGTTGTTGTGGTGGACTGTGTTGATGTATCTGTTGGCCCAGTCTACTGTCACTGATGATGACGTAGTTTGCCACTCTGATGATGCTGCTGATGATGCTGTTGTCACACGGAGAGATGTATTTGCTTGTGTTGTTACAGTCGAAGTACCATCATATATCACTATTCTTCTAGCACTTCTGTGATTACCTCCCTTGTCATAGGCAGATAGGACAACAGAGTACACGCCCGCCTCAGTCAGTGTGTAGCTGTTGGTGGTCTGAAATATGTACATTTATAAAGTTTTAACAATACATAATTCTGTAAACTGTACACGTGACTACACACCGTGACAGTTCGATTGTCAATGGAATTAATGTCCTTGTTAGTTCAAGTGTCATGTTCGTGTCAGTTCAGATGTTTTGTAGCTGGATCATTTAGTAGTACTTATTTTTTCTTCTTATTTGTGAAGGCAACACACACACGTGCGCACGCACATGTATACACACACAAACACACGCGCATGCATTCACATAGCGCTTACTATATTCACGAGACTGCAAATGATCAACCATAATTTGTATTGATGTAAATATTGGAACCACAATTCCTCACCGTTGAGCTTGTCAACGCTGTAGTCTTAACACGATGCTTAACTCTGAGTACATCCCCAACAGCGTGGAGTTCATACACGTCCCTCACAAAGTGGTCGACTCCTGCATCAGTATCTGACCAGCCACTCCAGCGGAGGTTCACTGTGGGCTGAAACAAGTCACAGATTCATTCTTCCTGTATACAGTTAACATCGGGTGTGAATGTGAAATATAACTGTAGTCATAAACTCACAGTCTTGATAACATCGGGAACAGTCAGCATGCTGCCAACACAGGCAGTAGTACCAGTACAGTGATAGGGATCCACCAGGTCTATGGACACAGTAAAGGTGTGGGTCTGTGTGGCACCGTTGTAGTAGTAGGTCGCTAGTGTCTTACTCTCCTTGTCCCGGACCTCCACATACCCTCCATTACTTGCTGAATAAGTGAATTCGATACTGAAAATAATAATGTCAAAATATTTACAGAATTCTACTAATGGTGAAACTTATATCAATTGAGAAACAGTTGCACTGTAGTTCATCAACGTTCTGTCGACTAACTTAAACTGTACACAGCAGTGGTCACTTAACTTGTCAACATACCGAGTGTACATATGATCATATTGATAGTGGATTTATATATACAATTATTCGTTTGGACTATTCATATTTTTGGTTTTATTTCGTTTATATCTGACATTCAGATTCCCAGCTGAAAGATGAAAACATTCAAAATAACGCACGGTGCCTGTATCGTAGCTAGCCCCTCATCACTACTCACACATCTCTGTGTTGGAAGGGTAGAGGTAGCACAGACGTCCCTGATGAGTTTCCTTCACAGGTGTACAGGTCTGTGTCCGGGCTGCTTCGGCTGGCTCCTCCACAGTTATAGACCTTAGTGGAGACAACACCTGCACCTACAACAACGCAGTCAGGTGAGTGAACAATGATGAAACAAGAAGCACGAGTTCATCAGTTAGGTGATTCAGGTTATGTTCTCGCCAACACATGGTATTATCGCTGTTTGATGCTGATACATAAATGCATGCCCGTGATATAGTCGGAATTGAACAGTCGACTTGAATGTGGAAAGGGTATTTGATTATGAATTCCCCACCGTATATACCGCTGTAAAGCCAGATAAACTTTACAATATAATACCTGACACGTTAGGTATCCATTCCAACATTCCAATGTATGCAGCAAAATGTCACATTATGCATACTGTGCCCTCTGATATTCGACATACCTCTCATGAGTTTGAATGTAGCAGAACCACTGACAATTCCAACACGGAAGTTTTCAATGAAGGCATGTCTGGATGGAGGTACCATTTTGTATTTTGCCGTAAACTTGTAGTACATTCTGGATGGAGAGTTGATGTTTGACCAGCTGGTGGACTGAGATGAACCACTGTTGATGTCGGGAGGAGCCTCTGTCGTGTCACCGTTGCTGGCGGTCAGTCTCAGGAGGTTGGAATTTATTGTGGGCTTCATTGTTACTGTAACATACTTGTAATGTATAAACAAAAGACGAATGTACAAAATATACGAAAAAATACTATAAACGACAGTACAAAAGATTTACAATTTCGTTGACATTTCCAGGTCAAAGGTTTCTATTCATACGGTGTCCATTTCGCTGAAGGGAACTACTTAAATATGGAAAATCAACGCCAGTGAAAGGCCAATGCCGATCATCCATAGAAACAGATTCAAAGAATCCTGAAGCAACATATAGCGCTGAAAAGTATATAATGAATGAATCACCGAAAATCAATGATGGCACAAGGTCTTCGAGAAAAGGTAAGCATGCATGAAAAAGAAGCTTTACGTGTTTGTTGTTTGCTACTTGTATTCCCAGGTAGCGTCAACTCACTTGTCTGACAATGTTTCCCTGTGAAGCCGCTGGAGCAGGCACAGTTACTGGCGTACTCGTTCCTGCAGGTTCCGGGATAACACCGGGTGCTGTCACTCCGCCACGAACACGCCTCTGTAGACACAAATGTGGGATCTGGCTTCACAGCATGGTCGGTTAAGTATCTAAATCTGTATTGTTCGTTGACGGCAAGGCATATTCTTACTTCGACAGGGGCGGTGGGGTAGCCTAGTGGTTAAAGCGTTGGCTCGTCACACCGAAGACCCGGGTTCGAATCCCCACATGGGTACAATGTGTAAAGCCCATTTCTGGTGTCCCCTGCCGTGATGTTGCTGGAATATTGCTAAAAGCGGCGTAAAACCAAACTCAGGCAGTCAGTCAGTCTTACTTCGACATGATCTGTTGTAATAAGAAACAATATACGTAAAACCGATGTCCACTTCCTGGCTTTTGACTAGAAACGATTTTGTTTTATTTGACATACCCATAGATAGAGTCGAAGGATACCATACAAATAGATGGATCAATAAAACCCATTTCAGTAATAAAAGACCAGGGAATAGAAGAAGTAATATGTTTAGATTGAAAATTCTTAGGGTTTGCTTGTATGTTGTTTTATTCATAACTCGATTAACTGTGATAATATCAGTAGGAACCTAACAACATGCATTAATGTAACTGGGGGATATATTGTTGACTCGTTTTTCACCAATTGCAACTCACGTATGCATGATCTTCTATCAGAAGACGCCACATATGCCATGTATCCTGTCTGGTTCAGCACGACCCCCTCACAGCGACTACACACCTGGTTGCTGCTGCTGTTGCATGTCTCCAGGTCACAGTTACTGATGGCGCTGCACACTGGCAAGAGTAACACATCTTCATATCTTGAACAGCGTAAATTTCAGACTCGCAACATATACTACCGACCAAAAATAAGGGAACTGATGAAATGACAGTGAATGTGAAATTGCTCTGAATGTCCACTAATTCAAATGTGGGCGTAAAGTTCAATATCTCGTGTGTCCGCCATGTTGGGCAACACATTCACGACACCTTGATGGCATACTGTTGATTAATTTCCAGATGGTTGCCCGTGGTATTGCCCGCCATTCCACCTGAAGAGCTGCACCAAACTGGGCCAGGTTGACGGTTGCGGGGTCCCTGGCATACACCCTTCCACCGAGAATGTCCCATAGATGTTCAATTGGGGACAGGTCTGGGCACTTAGAGGGCCAGTCCAATGTCTGTATGCCCTCTCGTCGGAGATAAGCTGTGACAATTTGGGCCCGATGTGGTCTGGCATTATCATCTTGGAATTCAAAATTCCTGCCGGTGATTCTAGCCAGCTGAGCCACGACAGGACGCAAACTTTCGTCAACGTATCGCTGACCAGTCAAGGATCCATTAACGATGACCAGATCTGATCGCCTGTCATGTGTAACCTCGCCCCACACCATGACACTACCACCCATATATCGATCATGGTCAATAAGTACCGCTCTGGCATACCGCTCACCGCTACGGCGCCAAAAACCTTGACTCATCTGAGAACATGGTGTAACGCCAATGGAGCAAAGCCCGTTCCTGGTGCTGCCTAGCCCATGCCAATCTTTGGCTCCTATGGTGAGCTGTAAGGATAACACCCTTGAAAGGCCGCCTTGCTTTCAGACGTGCTTGGTAGAGCCGGTTTTTAACGGTTGAGTGTGAAATTCGTCACCCAGTGAGTGTACGGAATTCCCTATTGATGGCAGGTGCTGACTTGAATCTACCGCGTAGGGCCATTAATGTAATGAGACGAACCTGTCGTGGTGTCGTTGATTTTGGTCTGCCACGCCCAGGTCTCATTGCAACCCCACCTGTTTCATAGTACTTGTCCCACAGGCGTATAATTACACTTTTTGATTTACCCAACATTCGGGCAACTTGACACAGTGATGTCCCCCCCTATATCATCCCCACAATTCTCCATTTTGTTTGTTCATTGACATACTGCCTCGGAGGCATTTTTCAGCATGTGTTCAACTCTCTTGCATTAGTGATTGTGAGTTATCCAATACGTTTACAGAGGTTTACTTCTGTGTGTACGTGCATCACGTGTTGGTAATGCATCATGTGGAATTTCAATGTCATTGGATGTTGCGTTCGGGTGCAATGCTACGGTAACGCACCCGTTCAGCTCTACGTTTGCTGCATTCAATTTCTTAGTTCCCTTATTTTTGTCGATAGTATAGATATAGCAGTAACATATAGTGATCGCAAGATCCTTTATGGACGGAAAACTGATTTTGTGAGTTGGTATCAAAGCTGCATTTTACAGTATTCCTGCTATGCCTAAGTTAAACTTATTGACAGTGGTGCACATTGTCCAGGTAAGAAATGGCATTATCACGAGCAACGTGAACTCTAAGCTTGTAGGAAAGATGTCACAGAAACTTCTGTGATCACAAGAGCCTCTATGAGTGAGTGAGCTGGACTCAACGACGCAGTTAAATACATGCCGGCTTAATGTGGGAGGAAGGCTCCAAGTGAAGTAGTTCTCTGACGTTCATCACGTTAGTAAAACCACGAGTTTGGTGCTGATAGATCAAGAATCAAAATCGTGACGAAACGGGATTTGAACCCTTTATGTTTAAGGTTTTAACGTGCTCAAGGGAAGTAACTCTAGTAGTAAGGTGACCGCACATTTCCGAGGTGACGTAACGTGACGCAACCTCGAAAATATGCAGCCACACTGACGTTATACACCTATGACGTCACGACGATAGGTCTCGTGACGTCATGACCTACAAACAAAGGTTTCTGACGTCACTGGTTGTGACGCAACCTCAAAAATATGCTACTACACTGACGTCAGACGTCACGGAGACGGTCATGAGCTGACCATCCCTGTGACATCACACACAAATGGCGGCCATAAGAATCCGAGTGCGTCCGTCAAACTAAAAATAATCTCAATTGCTCTCGCACGCATTTTTACCTCATAAATGCACCATTAGCGTGCCATTAAATATCTGGTTTGAAGAAGGCTAGGGAATGTCATACTGTCTATGTAAAGCACTCTACAATATAAGATCGCACGAGCACCGTATTCTTCATTGTTTAAACCACCCCCAAAAATATACCCACGAGGTAGACATCGTCAACACTTTTTTATAAAACACAACAGAGGCAAGTAAACAACATTTCACAAATTTTATTCGTAAATATGCTTAGATTATATTTTTACTCACAATTCAGCTCTCAGTTCACAAAGCATTTCTCATGTCAGTATCAAACCTGACGGGGCAAGTAATTTTCAGGAATGAGCACGATGGGCTAAACCTGTGATGTTCAAAGTCAATGTCATCCTCGGCACACCATTTCCACAATCGTAATCCACACCAGGCACACGCGACTTTGTCCGAAACACTGGTATAATAAAACCCTCTCCGGGCTAGCTGTCTACCCTTCTGAACCAGCTGTTCGGACCAGTCCTTAAAAGTACCCATCCTGTCGTAGCTACATAACATCGTTTCGTGGCAGTAGTTCTGACTTAAATCGACCAGCAGCTTTCTGTGCACTACCGATGGTTGTTTCCCACAGGTGTAGTGCCCACGTTGAAGATGATATTTACCATCCAACGATACACTGTCTTCGTATACATAGTCCGATAAAGTCACTGGCTGCTTCCTCGCGTCAGTATCATCCTCATAGCAATCGGACAATTGACCCCTTTCTCCATCCTTCTGGTGTTTAAGGGTATCGTAGTACTGAGACATCTTTGCCGTAGTGAGTGGACACTCGAAAATTTTGGCAACCTCACTCTCCGGCTGTCGAGCTCTAACTGACTTCGAGATTAACATATCTGGGAGGTCAGTCAGTCAGGGTAGTGACGTTGCTGATAGAAGACACGAAGGTCGTCAGCTAGTCTATCGTGGACGGATTAAGTGATGAGAAAACTGACATACTAAATCGTGTGGTTCAATATAACACTAGCCGTTGGCCATATAGTCTATCGTGGACAGGTTAAGTGATGAGAAACTGTCATACTAGATCGTACGATCCACTATGACACCATCCTTTGGCCGTATAGTCTATTGTGGTCGGGTTAAGCCATGAGAAAAAAATGCAATACTACATCGTGCCATCCACTATGACACTAACCGTTGACCATGTAGTCTATCGTGGACAGGTTAAGTGATGAGAAAATTGACATACTACATCGAGCAAATCATTATGTCACCAGCCGATGGTCATATACCCTATCGAGGCTTGGTTATGTGGTTAGAAATAGTGATAACACACAGAGCGAGTCACTAGCCACACAGTCTCAAACGCTCTGTGGAAAGAAATTGCGATATCTCACCACAAGACAATCACTAATGTCATACTTTGGGCATGGTTATACATTCTCCCGTCATTTAAGTAGTAAAATCTGTGAGAATTGTACGAGGCTAAAGTTACACTTTTAGGAGGATTTGTCATACTTCTGGAACGAATTGTTCTATGTTTGGGGCACTGTGTCATACCTTTGGTAGGGGTTATACTTTCTCCCGTCCTTTACTGTAGAAACATCTGCAGAAAATGTACAACATGAATGTCGAACGTTTCGAAATCTGTTTAAATTAGATAAGGATTGAATGGTATTGATTAAGAAAGTACGTATTGAAATACAAAAATCTAGAGGTGTGAGAGACAGCTGTAACATCGGTATGCAATTCATGACCTCACAACAGCCATGACTCCTCCGAGAGGACCTCTCTCCCCTTTATGACGTCACAAACAAGGACACATTAGTAAATTTGTATTAACTCTCATCATACTTCAACAACGCCATGCTCGCACACGGGGTGATGACGTTATGTCCTTTGAATGGCTGAGCCCTGCTATATGGTGGGGAGGGGACAGGGGCTGTGTTACAACCGATAGGACGGAAGACTGGGAGGCAGAATTATTCTCAAGGGGCAAGAGTGGAGTCATTGCTGCCAACGCGGAAGAGAACTGGGATTTAGAGCTGATGTCGGTGGAAGCATCAGCACCATTGCCACCATCATCATCTCAAGCATCATCAGCGTGTCCTGCATGGCAATGTCACCAAAGGTGTCTCCCCGTGTATGCAAACGGGACTATAGATTATAATGGTAGATTTCAGTGTGTATATTGTGGTACCATCCTGAAGGACACATACATGCGATGTTTGACGCACGATAGTAAGCGTCATATCAGGCAAAGGATGACAATTCACCAGTGTCAGTGCACACTACACCTGTGAGTCCACCTCACACCACCCAACGGTCCTTTTCAGGACCACTCATCTCTCCCAAAAGAATGCTTTGTACATTGCAAACAACGATGGCATATAACTTGTCTTCTCCAGCAGCGGTAGCACGACAAACGTCGCATTATCCACGACCCCGTAACCTCTAGATTGACCTATACCGTACCTTACGGTTTCAAAACCAGTACCACGTGATCCGTTCGGCCGTGTCCGACCGGTAGTTTGCTAGACAGTCGCTCTCCATTTTAAAAGCCACGAGCGACTCCCCAGTTCGCTTCCAGCTGTATAAGAACCTTTCCTCACCTCGCGCCATTCACCATTACTTACGGCGTAGTACAGTCATGTCTCAACAGTCAAACGACCATATGTGTAAGAACGACGACGTGTTCCAAATCAGCTACCCTCTGACGAATGCCCTGTCACACGTCATGGTAACTCTGCGTCTCAGCATACAATCCTCCAGTCTGTCACTTCAGGGAACCAAAAGAGACCGCACCACCACAACCACCAACAACAACAACAACGACGACACAGACCACCCAAGCACGACCAACAACGACAGCAGCACCACCGACCACCACCATGAAAAACCACTCGCGGCGACAACAGACCAGACAACCATGAACCACCACCCACCGAAGAAACCGACTAAGTCAACCACATGTCAAAAGAGAAAAATCAACGACGACGTAACGACGAAGAACAAGAAGAAGCAGAAGAAGATTAACCATACAGCATTACTGTCGTCTGTGCGTGACACCGAGGACGAGCTTTTCGACGGCGAACAACACCTGAGGGAAGGAGAAACCAACGTTAAGCTAGACATCGAGTTGCAGAAGCTCTGATAGGCAGTACAGCAGGCTCTGATACAAGCGCCTGAACAAGCGCACGCCCCCTCTCGGCGTGTCGATATGATGATTATAACAACGATGAAGATAATAATATTTAAAAACAAAATAAACGAACGGATCGTGTGTTCCGTTGAAAATGTATATTCTGCTATTTCTGTCGTTATTCTCGCACCCCAGCAGGGTATGTCGAGGTCTGGATTGGAAAAGGGGGCATGGTTGTCACAGCTTTTTAGAACTACCCCGTCATACTTATAGATCAGTTAGTCGTACATTGTGAACGACGATTGATACTTTCAGGAATATCGTTCTCGTAATTTTGGAACAGTTTGTCATACCTTTGGCGTGATTATACCTTCTCCCCATACTTTTTAGTAGTAAAATCTATGGAACGGGTCCACGACTAATGACGCGGTTTTGGAAGGGTCTGTCATACTTTTGGAACAGTGCGTGTAATTATTAGAATGTCGTGTCATACTTTTGAAACGATGCATCATACATGTGGAACAGTTAGTCATACATTGGGAAGGACGTGTGACACTTTTAGAATAGCGTGTCCTAATTTTGGATCAGTGTGTCATACCTTTGGGTGTGGTTATACGTTCTCCCTACATTTTTCAGTAGTAAAATCTACGGACACTAGAAAACCAAAACAGTAATACGTGATTTAACAAAGACGCTGCATCAGTTTCACGGTAACACTTTGATAAGATTATTTATACGCACAATGTTAGCGGTTAATTTACACCATTCCTCCATGGAGATAGATATACCTAAAATTGTCTCTTTGCCAGCTATAAATTGCCTGATATCTACGATGGGTAATTTTCTTTTTAAACAAAAGGAAACACGTTTTGTTGTCGAAAGGCGTAGCTGATTGTGCATACACTCGTTATCCATTAGATTCACGCCTGTTCCCATGACAAATGTCCTGAGGGGTGTTGTTCCGTATGAGTGGAGTGGTAAAGCTATGACGGTCAACGTGCAGCACGCGGTAGTTACCAATAGCCCGAGCACTGTCAAACTTGTATGCTTTGATACACACGTGTCTCTTTCTCCCTTTCTTGCCGTGGTTTCCATTTTCAAATAAAGACAATCCTCTTCAGGGGTATTCGACATTTTCAACGCATACATGCGCACGCAACACAAATACGGCATAAGCGTATTCCCTCCTCTACTCGTACACTCTTACCCCCTTTATATACAGTCGTGTTGAGAGAGAGAGAGAGAGAAGTCCATAGCGTTGTCACCACCTCCCAAGTAAACATGGCCAAGTATCGTGCTGACGGGCAGGAACGCTTAGTCGACAGAATTCATTTCCAATTCCCCAAGATATTCAGACTCTTACTAGGAGGTCCTAGAGGTGCGGGTAAAACCACTTTCGTGAAGCACATGCTACAAAACGATATAGATGGCCCGTTGCCTTTACTACAAAAATTATAGTAACGTTATAGTGTGGGTCTACAGTGAAACGCAACTCGTATACGACACTATAAAAGCCATCTGTGTCAGGGGAGGTATCGACATTCATTTCGTGCAAAAGATTAGTGACGATGTAGAAGGCTACGTTGATGCTTCCAAGTATAACTGGCTAGTCATCGACGACGCGGCAGGCGATTTGACAAAAGAGGACGAGCAAGAGTTACTGAGATGGTTCGTTAAGAGATTGCATCACAGACAGACCAGTATACTATACTTACAACAGAATAGTTTTGCGTGAACACCATTCCATAGAACGATCAGTTTAAATTGTACGCATATTGTTGTGTACAAGAATCCCCGAGATAGAAGCCAGATAGAAGCCAGATAGACAAATACTTCCGGGTCAGTCGGGCTTTATAAGAGACGCTTATGCCGAAGCTACATCACAACCGCACACTTACATACTGCTAGATTAAACGCAGAACACGCCCGACGAGTTTAGAGTGCGTGGGAACCAGTTAAACAGAGAACACGGAGAAATAGACGTGTACTGACCTAGGCAAAAGTGAATAGAATGGATTGCCATAATGCTCAGACTTGTGTTTCGGGGAATGAAATGCTGAGCAGACGACGGTCGTGGGGGGAAGCTGTGACTCGGACCATGATCGACGAAGACCAGGATAGCAATAGTAGCAGCAGCAGCTATGATGACGACTATTCTTCGACGTCATACGATGACTACAGCGATGACTCTAGTACTCTAGTCTTCTTCTTTGTTTGGGGACAGCGACACGTTGCTACATTACCGGGATGATGAAGCTTTGTATAACGACGACAGCGATAGCAACCACGATACCGAGGATGACGTATACAGTGTAGAACGTGTCACATTCGCCTGGGGCGACGAGGGTGGTGGGCGACACCGTAACAACAGCAGCGGTCAGATAATACCTCCTATACCAATACCCAAGATTGTTCTGAAAAGGAAATAAATCACAATACATATGAAGATTGTGAGTTTTAGTCGTCATTTTATTGTACACCCTCGGAGTAGAGCGACACCCCTCCTTTCACACGAGTAAATTACACCCCAGACACACCGTCCCATCATCGTCGACATCGGAGAACCCACGTCGCATCATCGCCTACCCCGTAACCTCTAACTTGACCTACATGGTACCCTACGGTTACGACACCAACCCTGCGTGATTCGTCCATCGCACTGGATTGGTAAATAATCTGGCATCCCACCAAGCCGCGATCTCTACTTTAGTGAGCCACACTCGCACACACGCACACACACACAGACGCGTCACGACACGCTCGACGTACATACTTTACTTTACTATCTATTGTCTTGTCTCGACAGCCAAACAACGGGGTGTACAAGGACGACGACATGTTTCAAATCAACTACGCCCTCACACTGTCACACGTGATGGTAGCCCTCCAACACAGCATGGGCTGCTCAAAACCGACCCCACAATGACAACACGAAAGAGACGCCACACCCCAGACAGACCATCATCGTCGACATCGGAGAACCTGCCACCACCAACAACAACACCCACCAACACCGGCACGAAAACACGCCCCCACCACCATCACTACCACCACCACCATGGCCGACCACCCAAACCCGAAGCTATCGACACCCACGGGTCGCGATAGCAAGAAGAAAAGGAAGAAGACAAACGACGTCATAACAACGACAGTTGCCAGCGAAAACAAGAAAAAACAAAACCCCTGAAGAAACAAAAGACCTTCTTCTTCTACGAAGATAGGTATCCAAGAAGGTCGAGAGCTAGGAGGAGAAGAAGAAGAAGAAACAACTGTCGAACTCGATGGTGAATTACAGAGGCTCGTGGCTGAGCTGATTGGGGAAGCGACGAGTGAAAGCGCACCCGACATACAAACGAAATAAACGAACGGATCATGTGGTCCGTTGAAATGCAAAACCCGTTATTCGGTTGTTATTTTCGCACGTCTCTCTCTTTTCACACAGGAAAAAACACCAACAAACAAACAGCACCAGACTCGTTATAAAGGCATCACAGAAGCGCTTTTATACGTTTATTTATACTCGAAATGTCTGCGGTTAATTTACGCCATTCTTCTGTAGAAATAGATATACGTAAAATTGTCGCTTTGCCGGCTAGAAATTGTCTAATATCGATTATAGGTAGGTTTTCTTTCATACAAATGGAAACACATTTTGTTGCCGAAAGGCGTAGCTAATTCCGCATACACCCGGTATTTGTTAGGTTCGCACTCGTCGCGTTGACGATTGTTTTGAGGGGTACTGTTCTCGACGAATGTGGTAAAGTTATCAACACCAACATGCAGCACACGATAACTAGAGTAGTCGCCAATAGCGCGTGGACAGAGACACACTTATGCTTTAATGGCGATTTTCGTCTCAGTATCTAAGGTTCGCTGTTTTTATCCACGGTCTACATTCCACTGGTCGTATGCTACTTGTCTCTGAGAGGTACTACGCCCACCGATCTAGCTGAGGATATAAAGAAGGTGGAGGAACCGTTGTTTGAATTACTAAAAATATCGCTGTCTATGCGCACGGTTCATACCTCTCCCGGTTTGTTAAAAAGTCGTAGCAGCAACAACCCTCATTTGTTCCGATAAAACGTAGGAAAAAACAGAGGATTTCTACGGTTGGCGTGGGACGTAGCGCCCTGTTGAAAAGAAAGAAGCATAGGAGAAAGGTTAAGAGAAGCTTGGTATTCTAGTAGAGATTTCACATAGTTTCAAATTATGATGTCGGGGAATATGGATCACGTGCAATGTGGTAAAAGTGAGCTGGATTTATTTTCACTACCGGGTATGGTTTCCACGATGACGGATTCACATTGGACCAAATATAGCCCAGTTACAGGTCTCGGACAGTTGGACGGTACCATAAGGTTTGATATCAATAACCCTATAAACAGCTACGTAGACTTGGCCGAATGTTACCTGAGAATTGTATGCAAATTTAAGACGGTGGATGGCCGTGCTGCCGTCGCTGACAATGTGGTGAGCGAGGATGGTCAGACGGTGACTAGACACAGAGACGTGTGCGCACCAGTGACAAACACTCTACATTCTCTATTTCGTGAGGTAAGGGTGATAGCGGGGTCTAACCAGCTAGAATAACGGACAGTCTGGGCACCTATCGAGCGTTTATCGAGACCCAACTGAGTTGTGATCAATCACAAATAGACAACAACCTGGTAGCACAGTATTTCATTAAAGATAAGGTGGGTTATTTCAATAACTTCACTCTAGGACAGGGAAATTAAAACCCGCGTTTCGTGGAACGATGAAGCAAATGTGTCCCCAGTAGACCCGTAGAGCTCGTCTGGAAATTACACTCTGATTTGTTTATACAGCATAGATATCTCATAGACGGCGTGCCTTTAAAAATTGAACTGATACGTAGTCCACACAATTTCTACATGGTACACGGTAGCACAGACCAGGCTGGTACTCTCATACCCGGCTATGCTTGCCACATACTATCAGCCGAGTTTCATGTCAGACAGGTAAACGTAGCACCTGCCATTAGAGACAGTCATATCAGGGGTTTGACGTGTGGTAGCACTGTAAAGTATCCTATAGCCCAAGTGAAAACCACGGCACATGACATTCCTCAAGGCTTGAGAGAATATAATTCTGAACACTTAATAATGGGTCATATCCCTAAAAGAATAGTACTCGGTCTCGTCGACAACGAATCCTTTTCGGGGGTTTCGAATAAAATTCCTTTTAATTTCCAATCTTTTGCATTGACTGAAATAGCCGTAAAAGTGAACGGTCAGGAGGTAGGTAAAAGATGTCATACCGTCAATTTTGAGCCCGACTCTACGCGAATGTATCAGACATACCTGGAGCTGTTTAGAAATACGGGTGGCCTTGGGAGAAATTCCACGCACGCAGTGACTCTGGGAGAATTTTTAGACGGTACTACGTTGTTTGTATTCGATTTAACGCACGATTTGGGTGCTGACATGTCACACGTCTATCCGAAGAGCTCCGGTAAGGTTGGCATAGAATTGAAATTTTCGCAGCCAACGCCCCGAGCGTTGACGTTGGTGTGCTATAGAGAGCTGGACAGTATCACAGAATTTGACCACTTTAGAAATGCTACTATACACTGATGTAGACGACGGATAGGTTACATATCCTTCTAACATGTTGTACGGACGAGATTTACAATGGTTTTGGACATAACGACCCTTTTCTTAAAAACAACTACGGTGGTATCAGTAGTAGGGATACTTTGGAAGAGGTGTGTGGTAATGAAATACGCAGTATTATGCTTAGCAGGGTGAAAAGATTGAAATATCCTATCCTGTTTAAGAAGAGTGAGCCGGGCAGTCACTGGTTCCCGTTAAGTATAGAAGCACCCGGTAGATTACACATACACGACTCATACGGTATAGATTACACGCGAATTTGGGTCGAATTTCACGATTTTGTGTCAAAATATGGTCGTTTGCAATATACCTACAATAGAGTTCGCGTGCAGAGCCTATCGTGTGTAGCTTGAGGACACCATAGCCTATATTTCAGTAGCTGTGGTTCTAGGGGTATTTCCAACGACGAGATAGTGAAACATTACAGTCAAAAGAACACGCTTAAGAACGATTCGATGGTTTTCAGATGGTATGATGATAGCGTGAAACGTATGCTCGAAAAATTGTAAATAGGCGCGGGAGTAAGGTTGTGTATTCTTAGTGGATTCTGTTTTGATTAGCGGAGACAGAGACCCTCATGTGTTTGCTCCGACACGCTTGTATAACGAAGCATGGTGTACAGGTCCTTAATGCCTGGGGTGTGGAGTAGTGTGTGCCCCTGGGGATTGACGATGATGTCACGCACGTCGCTAACCTAACAGATTGACCTCCCACGGAGGGATTGACGATGATGTCATGCACGTCGTTACCCATGACTGATTGACCTGCCACGGAGGGACTGACGATGATGTCACGCACGTCGTTACCCCTGACTGACTGACCTCCCAGGCATCGAGATAGTCAGTTAGAACACGACAAACGAAGCTACGACAGGATGGCTACTTTTAAGGACTGGCCCGAACAGCTGGTTCAGAAGGGTAGACAGCTAGCCCAGAGAGGGTGTTATTATACCAGTGTTTCGGACAAGGTCGCCTGTGCCGGGTGTGGATTACGATTGTGGAAATGGTGTGCCGAGGATGACATTGACTTTGAACATCACAGGTTTAGCCCATCGTGCTCATTCCTGAAAATTACTTGCCCCGTCAGGTTTGATACTGACATGAGAACTGCTTTGTGAACTGAGAGCTGATTTGTGAGTAGAAATGTAATCTAAGCATATTTACGAATAAAATTTGTGAAATGTTGTTTACTTGCCTCTGTTGTGTTTTATAAAAAGGTGTTGACGATGTCTACCTCGTGGGTATATTTTTGGGGGTGGTTTAAACAATGAAGAATACGGTGCTCGTGTGGTCTTGTATTGTAGAGAGCTTTACATAGACTGCCCGACTCGATGTCTTCTATGTATTTGGTAGAATATAACCGCCTTCCCGTGTTGTATTGTAGAGAGCTTTACATAAACCGGAGGGCGCGTTATTCTTTTGAGCGTCGTGATACATTTGTTTTGCTGCCTTGTATTGTAGAGAGCTTTGCATTGGCAGCACGACATTTACAGACCTCTTTCAAAATTGTTATTCATTCCCGCTTTGGGGTTTACTATACGAGGTAAAGAACGAAACACTCCATACTACTCTTGCTGCTTTGCCGTTTTCTACCTCACAGATTTGTTTTTATGTAGAATATCACCGTCTTACCGTCTTGTATTGTAGAGAGCTTTACACAGACGGGGTGGCCGTGTGATGAAGAGTGTATAGGTATGCCTTGCGGTCTAGTATTGTAGAGAGCTTTACATAGACAGTACGACATTCCCTAGCCTCCTTCAAACCAGATATTTAATGGCACGCTAATGGTGCATTTATGAGGTAAAAATGCGTGCGAGAGCAATTGAGATTATTTTTAGTTTGACGGACGCACTCGGATTCTTATGGCCGCCATTTGTGTGCGATGTCACAGGGTGGTCAGCTCATGACCGTCTCCGTGACCTATGACGTCAGTGTAGTAGCATATTTTCGAGGTTGCGTCACAACCAGTGACGTCACCACCTTCGTTTGTAGGTCATGACGTCACGAGACCTATCGTCGTGACGTCATAGGTGTATGACGTCAGTGTGGCTGCATATTTTCGAGGTTGCGTCACGTTACGTCACCTCGGAAATGTGCGGTCACCTCACTACTACTCTACAAAGTGAATGGCGGCACATAATTGTCTCCGATATGAATGAATCGACTGAACCTATGTACACGTACTTCTGCAGCGTTCATTGCTGGGGTAAAAGCCTTCAGTACAGTTGTCACAGGTCCCAGGGGAAATACATGTGCCTCCACTCTTATACTGTGTGCTGCCGTTACTGTGGACGATGTGAGATGTGCTGTAGTCGATGTTGCAAGCAGCGGGGTTGATCTCGCTGTCACATATAGCTGCAATGTGTAAAGGGTGTTTCATTGTTACAGTATGTGTGGGTGAACATGTTAATGTCAAATCATCCGAATTCTGATTTATCTTGTGTGGTAAAATGTGCTCAACTGGAATTAGAACAAACGAAAGCATATTGCATTAGTGAGCATTCACAACAGTGAATGATAATCGATAGCCTGGGAATTTATTCAAAATACATTACACGGCCCGTCCAACCTTTAGTTACCAAGGTATAAGGATCGTCAGATCATAATGATAACAATTGTAGCAAGGACATACGTTCCTCAACCAAAGTAGCACAATTCACTTACGATGTGGGCAGTCTGTGTTATCTGTGCTTCTGTACCCTGTTTTGCATCTGTAATTTGTGGCTGACCTATGGCTGGGAGAACAAAAACGTGTACTCTTACGACGCGTATGATATTGTCAACATAAGAATGTACGACTTAGTACCAGTGTTGATATCATATGCTGTAATATTCTAATGCAGTACCTGCCTCATCTATGATCTGGTTCTTACAATTGTGTCTGGGAATTTCCCTTTGTCATAGAGGTCAACTGTGACGCAATGGCCACCAGTGTGGTTGTCACAATACTACTAAATATTCGATCAAAAGTCAGAACAGGGAGACCTCGTCAAATCACGAAGGTAGCGTCATTTGTATATTCAGAAAATAAACAAACATCATGAATAATACAATTCGTTTCAAGTAATTAAGTTTTTACCTGTATCTTGAGCACCGACGCAAGTACCAAAAACCACACGTCGTTGTGTAACGATGTGCCCAGTAAGTTGTATACGCCTCTACGTTTTCACTGAAAGGAAAGTAAGACTTGGAGGTATCATTATTTCTTCGCCTCACACATGTATTTAAAGTATACAGATGGAGAAAAGTATCGCAACACCCAAGTATTATGATAGGACCTATATTTAATCACAGTTTATATGTCATTTGCATCTTCACAGGAAATTATGTTACCGCCAAAGTCCTAAAAGGACTTTCCATTAACACAAAAGCCAACAATAAAGAATCTGAATGGTATAATTTGATTAAACACGGGTCCAGTGATAACTGAAATTAAGAGAACATAATGTGTCAGTAAAAGTATGTTCATACCAAACGGGTAACACAGTGCATAGTCCTAATTCATACAAATAAGGTCTCTACGTTTCAGAAAGAAAAGACACAGTCAGTATCTTGTGTAACCTCCGCCCACCTGGATGACGTTTTGAACCCTCGTCCTCATTGCCCAAGACGCTGAATCCGATGTTGGGGCAACCTGTTCTATTCTTGGTGAAATGTTTGCTCTAATTCATCAATATTCTGGACTGGCCGATCTCTCTGACGAACCTTACGCCCAAGAATGTCCCAAACATTCTCGATAGGGTTCAAACCAGGGTGGTAAAGGCTTCTTGATGTAAGAAATCAATGATCGCGCGATGTGACCTGGCGTTGTCTGTTTTTCTAATCATCTTTCGTGGATTAACCACCCAAAACAGGCATCTGTACAAGCCCTTAAGGTTTTGATAACTATAATTAGAAATATGTATTTTTGGGAAATATCATATAAATCATTCTTTAAAATGTTTTACGTAAAAGTAAGCCCAATACTGTTATATGGATAAGAAAAATGGGGTTTGAATAATTATGAATCTATAGAAAAAGTCCATTTGTATGCATGCAAAAAATATATCGGTGTGAAATCTAGCACATGTAGCACTATGGTATACGGCGAGTGTGGTAGATTTCCATTATACATATTTTCTACTATTAAAGTTAGAAAGTACTGGTTACGATTGTTATCTATACCATGTCATAGATTTCCTTAGAATTGTTATTTTGTATTTATACATACTACAAAATCTGCTTTAAATTTGTAATCTGTAAGTATTTGACATATGCTTTTCGGCTGCTCAGTTGTAAATATTGTGTATATAAATGTACTATAGGCCTGAGGCCTTTTAAGAACCGAATAAAGATTGATTGACCAGGCGTTGTCATCCATAGAGATTGGGCTTCTTAATTAGGGATGATTATCGAAATGAGGCACTACATGCCTCCTCAAGATTTCCTATTGGTATCTTTGTCCATTCAGATTTCCTCTCACTGTGACAAGCTGAAGTTTGCAGTCATACGATACACAGCCCCATACCATCATGGATCTTCCGCCGAATGGAACTTCTTCCAGGATGTTCCTTTGAGCATATGCCATGTTCCTCTGTCGCCATACACGCGTCCTTCCGTCAGTAACAAACAGCAAAAACCGGCTGTCGTCTGAAATATGGATCTTCCTCCAAGGAGCCAGGTTCCACCAATGTCGGTCACAGCACCATCGTAATTTTGCATCCATGTGGGCGACGGAAGGTCTCCTGGCCTTATACCCTGCTGTTTTCAGTCGATTTCTAACAGTTTAATGACAGAGTTGCAGATGTGTAAGTCATTGCCGTTTTAACATTGGACTTGGTGCAAAGGGAAATCGCCGAACAAGTCTTACTAGGGCTGCGTCGTGTCTAGCTGATGTCTTGCGTGGTCTGTCTGAACGATCCTTTACTTCGTTTGTTTGGTGATATTTCTTCACTAATCGACTGATTGTTGAAGGGAGGTGACCTAATTGCCTGGCTGTTTGTCTCATGGACAACCCGGCATTAAACATACCTATAACTTGCCATATTTTGACTGACGTTAGTTGAGGGGGTCCCATAGAGTTGTTTCAGAGTTTAGTTTTAGTGTTGTTTTACGTCCCACTCACCAATATTCTAGCTATATGGCAGGTTGTTTAAGACAATAAGTATGCAAGAGTGAATGACAATTTGAACTGTATTTTCATGACACGATACTACATATCGAACTTATCACTTCATGCACTGTCGCCTGAAAAAAATAATAAACACAAACGCGCAAACTAATAATGGTTGTCGGTCTTCCGTCTAACTCCCAAGGCAGGTTAAATCTTTCGTTCGTGTCACAACGGCAGACTCTATTCGGCATATTTGGCCTGTTTGTGTCACGATTTACTATAGTAGTAGTCAGCTTACAGAATCTGGGATTAGAATGAAGTGTAGTTCTAAGACGAGCGAACAAATTTAGCCTGTACATGAAGCAATGTTACATATTTACAGAACGTTTTCACCAGATATGTAACCGACTTTTAAGACACGATATAAGAATTAGATATGTGTATATCATGAATAGCCAACAGTCGTTTGTTACTTAAATACCTTCAGGTGAGATTGTTATATGTCAGGTTGAGACCTCAATAAATCGCTCATCATAGATGGACTTTAGCTGACAGTGGACTGAAGGAACGAACAAACATCATCATTTCCCTCAAGATCTAACCCTGCCCGACTTTACTATACACTATCTCGGCCTCTCTGACACACACATGTAGTGATTCATCAAGAATGTAAGTGGATAACACTTATTGCAGTCCGTTTGAGACAAAATGATACCGATGAATTGCAATCTAACAAAAAACAAATAGACATAAAAGAATCAAACCAACGCGGACTGCAATAAAAACAACAGACCAACTTTATTGGCAACTCAAGGAACAGCGCGAAAAGCGAGATGCACGTGCATTAACGGGTTCTCAGCAATCTTTTGAACTGAGATGACACGTACCCCAACTGCACAGGCAGTGCGCTGTATGCGCTTGGTAATTGCATACTTGGGTCTCCCCCTGTCGTTTTCATCCTTGAAGAAATCATAGATTTTCTAAATTGTAGACTTTCGTCGGGAGAAAATTTCATTTTCTCTCACTTTGTCAATCAGCAGTAATCACATGTCTCTAACGTCACTAATGCACGTGCATCTCGCTTTTTGCGCTGTTCCTTTAGTGGCCACTGCGCCCTTGTAACAAACTGGGAAAGCGCACAAATAAATGATGACAGTTTATTACACAACTTTTTTATTTTTGTGACAAAAATTATGCAATTGTTTTCTATAGATGGTCTGTTGTTTTTATTGCAGTCCGCGTTGGTTTGATTCTTTTATGTCTATTTGTTTTTGTATTAAAGTAACAAGTGATCTGTTAAAGTAACTTTGAGTTTGGAGTTGAAACAGTAACAACGGCACAGGACGTATTCACATTACATGACAGCAAACCGTATTAACTTAGAAGTAATGTTAAGTATTAAAAGGGCGTGTTTAAAAATGTAGCATTCTACATTCTACAAAAGAAAGAAGCATGTCTAATTGTCCATAAAGGTCAGCATACGTCTTAACATTACGGAAGTTAATTTCGCAAATTCGTGTTCTTGTGGTCTCATTTGACAATGTTGAGTTTGTTGGATATAACAACAGGTTGCATTGTCGCTTTCTCGACAATAGTAACAATTCGAAATATTGACAGCGCTTTTGCGAACATTTATATTCTCGAATATTAATCTTTCCAAAGGTCGTACAAATGACCTCTACAGTAAACCATCGCCTTTACTTCATCTCTTGCTTTGGGGCAGATCGTATGTTCGGGGCATCTTTCAACTCTTCTCAGCTGGAAGATTGACCTCAAGATTCCCCTAATCTAAATCGGGTTTTAATATTTGAGTCTACGTTTGAGACAGCTTTACCAAATGAATTTCAATGAATAATCAAGTTGTGTTTTTGTCTTTTACGTCAAGGCATGCCGTTATGTGTCCGTAATTAAGGACAATTCCCGATTTAATCCTTTCCAAAGCAAGGAACAAATACAACATTTATATTTTTTATTTAGATGAAAGTATACTTGGCGTCATTAATGAAGGGTGAAGTAACACTATTTCTTAAAAGTTGTAAAATCTTCGTTTTTGTTTGAAATATGCACAACTGTATGTTTTACAAACTTTCTTAACAGAATGGAAAAACACATCAGGCTCTTAGAAATGTCATTATGACGTTCTTTAACGTTCTTTAACGTCCGATACATTCTGTTACAAATGACACATTTGTTATTCAAATTATCAACATGGAAATCCACCTGCCACTTAATGTCAATGATTTGCTCTTCCATGGAAAATGGAGGACAATACACATGCATTGATGCTTTTTCACTGTCGTTCACTGTTTCGTTTAATATCGCATCTTAAAATGCATCCTTGTTTTGGCACTTGCTGAATTGGGTCAGACTATATGCCTCTTGGAATCTGGTCAAACTCAGCGGCAGGTTGCTGTCCGCTTTAATGTGAGTCAGAGTGCTATTGGTAGACTGTGGCAGAGAGGGGCCGTGGAATATGCATGTCGACCTGGTCGACCCAGAGTCACAACAGTCCGAGATGATGGTCACATCATTAACACAGCGTTAGGTAACAGATTCCTTAACGCAACAGGTCTTCAGACAGAACATTTCAATGTTAACATTGTCAGGATATCCAGGAACACCGTTCGTCGACGTATAAGGGCAGCCGGACTCCGCTAGCCTATAGTGGTAGACGAACTGCAGGTCACCTAAAACCACGTCACAGACAGCCGTGGTGGAGATGGAGTAGACATCGTGGTGGCTGGAATCAACATCAATCGGGTCCTTCCATGATGATCGGCAGAGGATTTATCGTCGCAATGGACGGCGAATCACAGATGCAACTGTGAACACGCATAACCGATTTGGCGGGGTGTCGGTCATAGTTTGGGCAGTGATAACTCCTACTGGACGTATTCCACAGCGCGTGGTCGACGGAAATCTTACCGGACAGCCTTATCGGGACGAGATTCTGGCTCCTGTAGCAGTACCATTCCTGCAAGCTATGCATGGCTTGTGGTCAACCTTCTTTACTGCAAGACAGCAACACTAGGCCTCATAGGGCCAGGATTGTCACGAAATTCCTTTGAGAGCAGGGTGTAGAGCGGATGGAGTCGCCAGACCTCAACCCAATTGGGCATGATTGGGATGAACTCGGTCGACGTGTGTACGTCACCCAGCACCGGTGATCTCCTAGGACTCTGCAGAGCTCTAGTGGAGAAATGAAATGCGATTCCGCAAGCTTTCTTTTTGCACGTGATAAGGAGCATGATACCAAGGTGCACCTGTGTCATGAACGTGCGTGGAAGGTACACAAGATATTGAATGACCGAGTGCTTCATGCTTTTCGTTTTCATTTTGGGGGTTGGTCTATACAACTGGTGTTTGCTAGTGCTGTTTAAACTTTTTGATTGTATGTCACGATGTGTCACGTTTGTCAACACATTAAACATTTTGGTGACACTCTTAGTTCTATTTTTTGTGTGAAACCTTTCTTCACAGGTGCTATAGAGCATTTGACCCTGTATTGAAGATGCCTAGTATATTTATGTTGTCTGTATGCTTATAGATTCAGGGACCTTTGTTTCTTAATTATGCATCCAAATGTTCATACACTTACTTGATATGAATGCGTTTTGTTTAGTTTTTGCTTTCTCTCTGTTGCTTGTTTTTATCTACAATACATTATACCTAACATACAATTAGAATTGGTCAGAAGCTGTTCTGATCAGCTAATGCTGTACCACTTCCAAAGCCTAACCACACTTAAACCATTTGGGAAGTTAGATGACATATACTTACGGGATTTTGTACTTTAAACATAAACACTAATCATCAGAAGGACTGGTGACATATCCGTTTTCGAGGCGATTTAGCTCGAGAATGTCATCTTAAATTTCTACACACTCAGTCAGTGGTGTACTTCAATGAGAATCTGATACTAAAACCAGTATGTTTCTTATCAGATTACAAAATATATCAGCCATAATGCTATGATAGCCTCATAGTTCCAATATCTATAGTAAGTGTTCACAAACAGGTAAGGTAAAAGACATCACCTGTGATGTTCTTTTCCTAGAACAGCCATTTGCAATAAGAATGAGTTTCCCGACGATATAAAGTATTGTCATCTTATACTATTTTGAGGTAATGTCAGTAGTCCTTACTTTTATGGCGTGTTACGTCTTTTTATGCTTGTGAACATATTGAACATATCTTATGACCACTCACGCACGGGCAGTGTTATTTTCGATGGGTTTCCTGAACATAAAATAAAAATCTAACAAAAGCTCCTCTCACATACTAGTGATTATATATTAAGAAAAAGGTTTACTGTGTTGCATTTATTATGTATATGGTCCTTACAGAGACATAAGTTCGGGCGGCAAACACCATTTAGCAACTAACTTGTAACAGATACTCCAAAATTTGCTCTTTTACAGAGTAACCATTCGACTTACAACTATATATACACCATGCAGTATATATATATATCATAAAGCATTATTTCATGCATAAATCTGAACACATTATTCTGAATAAGTCCATTTTTCCATCACGTAACAAGCTTGACCAATTAGAATGACTGACTTCGAAGAGTTGATTTCCGAATTGAAATGATAGGTTATGCTATAAGACAATGTGTTATCTTTTGTATTACTGGACATATGTTTCTCGCCAAAATCTATAAAGATACTACACTCTGGGAACAAACAATGTCATTTCGAGAATACATATTATTGTTACAGAGGACTGTAGAAGTAAACTGTTCAACATCTTCACAGCAAAAAAAACCAGTACAAGGTAACATTCCAGTAATGTAGAGTCAGAAAATCTGGAAAACAAGTATTGTACATGAAACCCTTGAGCTGATGAAATAATGGACCAGAGGTGCGTAGACACGTTTTAGTTACGTTTTAGTTACACAAATACCTTCAAAGTAGTGCAGTCTGCGTTAGAGTTAAAAGCAGATATTTTAAATGATACAATACTGGACAACATGGAGGAAAGTGCAGCGTGTTTAAGGTGTTTGAGACCACCATTAGCTAAATCTCGTAATATTTCTATGATTTCAAACCAGATCATACAGACCGTTCCCATGTCTAGCTTAATATATTAGTCAATTAGCATGTAGCTCAATAAGAAAACTTTGCTCATAACAATCATATAATGAGTAAATATCAATAATAAAAGGCCTTTTTTCAGCTGACTAAAGATCAGTATATCTCACTGTCAACAGGTGCATGTTTACAGTACACAGAACAATCAAACTTAGGATAGCAATATTAAAGAAAAATCTATAATTTTTGAAAACTATATTAAATTTGTTTGATTTTTTCAGATAAATACCCAGTGGATATATTTTGACCGGCTAAGTGATAAAACAGAAATACTTTCTTACCCATTTGCTTGCAGTCCTGTGCTGAGATTCCACGTTGCAAGTGTACAGACCCAGAACACTATACAGTATTGTACAGACACCATACTTCCTTGTTGACGATGTTCACTGAAGGATGACAAGAACGTATCACCGCAGTCCTTCCCTTACATGTGAGAAACACTAATATATATACTGCCGAACACTACAACAGTACAAGGAAGGTGATTATTGAACCGTAGTGATCCAACTGGGAGCCTCAGAATTTTGTTGCAATTTGAGTAAATGGACAATTATACTTATTGAGACATCCCTGGGTTATCATATGACTTTTATCTCTTTCAGACGCTGGGAGTTACTTTCAAGCAGTGGAAGTCAGGATCAGTCAAAATGTCGTAGACTGGATACTTTGTTACCATGTCTAGCGCTCTGCAATTGGTGCATAACCAATAACTGATCGGTTCTGTCAAGCTAAACTGTAACATGCATCAGAGCGGCCTTGCACCATAAGCCGATGTAAGTCAAGACAAATACTCTCAAAAAGCGACCCGTGAAGATCCGGGTTAAAATTGGTCTTCAGCAACTCATGCTTGTCGTAAGAGTCGACTACCGGGTTCAGGTGGTCAGACTCGCTGACTTGGTTGACACATGACATCGTAAGCCAATTGCGTAGGTCGATGCTCATAATGTGGATTACTGGATTGTTTGGTCTAGTCACGACTAATTATACATCGCCGCCAGACAGCTGGACTGGAATGTAGTCTTGAACATTAAACAAGCTTGGGGAATGCTGTTCATTGTGTGAACCAACGCTTCTCTAAAGTCAGCTAACGTCAATGGCTGATTCCGGGTTCCATTTCACGCCAAGCGTGCTCGGTGAGGACAGGTCCAGAGAAACTGCTGGACAAGGGAGTACCGGAGTGGTCGGGCATTATCTTGCTGAAACGTGAATTTACGTCTCTGACCTTGAATGAACGGCTGCACATGAGGTCCAATGATCTCATCCCTGTATCGCAGACCTGTCAGATTGCCATTGACAATGACAAGTTGTGTCCGATTATGAGATGTGATGTTCCTCCATACCATCACGCAATCGCCACCAAACCGAACAGCGTTGAACAATGCACGCATCAGCATACCGTTTACCTCGTCGTTTGTACATCCTTGCCCTGCCATCTGAGCTGTCCCGATCAAATCTCGACAGTGAAGAAAACACCATCTCAATCTTGTCTTCTGTACCGTAGATGCCGTGTGCATCAGGCAAGACGTTGACGTTGGAGCAGAAGTGGACGTCTTGCAGGCTGTCCCTCAATCGGATCCGTATCGTCCTGGAACTGATTGTGGACGTAAGCCAGGAATGGTCCGAGCAGTCAAACTGACAGCCTGGAATCGGTTCCTTAGATGGGTCAGCCGAATGTGGTTGTCTTACTGATGTGACATCACGCATGAACGCCGGTTCGAGGCCAATCTCTCGTGTTCATATTATGTTGAAAACGTCTCCACAGAGATGAGATTATGTTTCGATTGACACCAAAATGTATGGCCACTTCATTTTGGGCCATTCCAGTCTCCAGCATACCCAAGACGCTGAATTTCTGTAAGCCGTGACATGACGTGCAAAACGTGAGTAAGTTCATTGTGCACAAAGTGCACGTGTCACGACCGATACGCGACATCAGAATTCATATTATGTTATGTTATGTTATGTTCTGTTATACAACGAAGTTGCGGGGGATATAGAAACGAGTTCCGTCCGTCCGTACGTCTGTTCGTCCGTACGTCCGTGCGTCCGTCAGACTTTGTCCGAAGCATATCTCCTAAACTGTTCGTGATAGCTTAACCAAACTAGGTACACATGTCAACCATGATCCCTAGATGTGTCTTTTGGGCGTTAGACCCAGATGCGAAGTTTATTTTTGTATTACATGACTTAGGCTGTGGCAATGAGGATGTCATCTTGTTGCATTTCCATGGCAACAAGTTAGGCTTCAACTGAATTTGGTGGTAGTGCTCCTTCCTGGAGCAGATCTTAAAAACATTTCAATACTCTCCTTCCACTTTGTTGTATAAACTTCCACTTTGCTGTTATGTTATACACGTTAGTATACTTTCTGAAAACAGTGTTAGAAGATAATTAAGCTTTTTGATTTGATGAGAAGCCAACTTTATTTCTGTAATAAACAGCCAACAACTTAAAAATTTATGCAATACATTGAAAGTGTAACACAATACATTCTGACAAATAGGAGAATGTCTTGGTGTTCATTCAAAACCTTTAGACAAAGGTTTAACTTCCTAAGTCTATTTCGTCTGAAATATATATTACTTGTGAAATGTCATTCTAAGTGCTGAATAACAAAAGGAGGTTTCGTTAGGAGACACAGCCATGTGGAATGTCAGCCTGTCAGGCACTCAGGGTAAACTCCGGACACTTAGAGTATAAACATGTGATGGTCGTCACACTAAGGTTAATCGCAAAACACGAAACATATGTTACATGAATGCATCATGTAAACCACATTACTAACTACATGTACATACCCGTCATATCGCTGGAATATTGCTGAGTGCGGCGTAAAACTAAACTCAATAACAACATGTACATACACAAACAAAGGCGAGTTTTGAACTTATACTGAACACTATTTTAATAATTCGGACTGGAAATTCTTGGGCAAATTTAGCTGTCGTTATTGGTGGGAACAAGCATGTGAAGCTTCATTGATAAAATATTGGTCGTGTGGTTTCCGACGAGAAGACATTTAAAGACGCCGGATGCCAGTAAGACATTACTTTCAGTGAAAACAAAACAACACATTTTGCATACGTGCAAGTAGCGCCTTTTTAAAATAAAACCTGGGAAAGTAACTTATCAGGAGGTCACCTTTGTATGCACCAACTTTCTTAAAACCCATTCCGGCTTATATATTTGGTCATAATGTCACTTTAGCGTTATTTTGTGAAGATTCTAAATTATTCTCGTTGGTTCTATTACGTACATCTGTAACGTGCAGATACACATATCCACAGATAAAGAAATATATACACGAATGTATAATATACTTACGATCTTGCTTTTGATATACATCCAAATATTGTCGGGGACAAACAGAAATATCACAACTGTTTTCTGTGCTTCTGCTACGACAGTGTTGCATTCAGGGCTACCGTACCCTGGGTATAAACAGGTCTGGATACTGATGCAAGTACGCTGTACCAGGAAGTTGTGAAAAATGCATGACAAACGACGGTGTAATAAAGCAAAAAGGAAACGCATGACAGCATCCTTCGATCTAAATTTGACAACAACGAATATTGTGTTGCGAAGGAGAAGAAACTTGACACTCCTTGTAAGAGATTCTTTTCCCGAGGAAACACTATTTCAGCCCATCTTCATTACATCATCTGCGTGATCATGATCGACATGCACGAGCAGTAAAGAACAAGGTCCACGTAATCGAATATGATCCATCTTGGTTCGCCGTCGACCTGGGACGATTGGAATCTGATGTCGTCCTTTTGTCGGACCAGTACTAACCCAAATGTACCGCCAGGAAACAGTAGGATGGTCTCTGAGTTGCATAAATTCCTGTTAAACTCCCGAAGTGTGTATATACTCTCCCAAAATAGAAAGGCATACGTGATATTGATATTGATATGTTATATTTTTCGTCATCAAAACTTAATGCATAGTGCTAAAAAGCATCTTCGGAAACTTAAATGCACGTTTACGTTCGAAAGTGTCAACTTGCATGAAAATGTCATGGCGAAAAGGAGCAGTTCTGAGGAACCGTACGCGTGAACAGGAACATTGGTTAGACTTGTTTTGCTTCTAGACGGTTATTGACATTTTTTGCTAAATGAAAAAAATATAGTTATTCCGCGACTCACTGCTGTAAATCGGAACACTGCCATTGGACGTCGGAGGCTGGGGAGTCTCTCAATCTGCCTGTCAACATGCACTTCACCAGAGTACCAGTATCTTCAGAATGAGAACATTACAGTGCTTCCATGATCTTTGAAATAGCCCGACCTCAGCCCCATCGAGCATTTGTGGGATGACCTCGACCGACGCGTACGTGAACGTCAACAATCACCCAGACGTTAGATCAACTGTTGCAGGCATTGCAAGAGGAATGGGCCAGAATTCCACAATGTCGGTGCAGAGCAGTTTTGGGGGCTCATGGCCACAACAGATACTGAAGACAACGCCCAACTGGGAACGGATGCTGCAAATGATCCAGAATTACATGTGTCATCTCGCTTTAAAGGTAGCAGATTAAATTTGTGAACATATACCTATCCGTTTCTTTTTGGGGAGAGTGAAAAATAATTTTCATTTGACAACAGAGAAACGTAGTTAAAAAATAATCGTATGCTTACGAAGATCCAGGTTAGAATTGATCTTCGGCAACCCATCCTTGTCGTAAGAGGCGACTGAAAGGATTGTGTGGTCAGGCTCACTGACTAGATTGACACATGTCATCGTATCCCAGTTGCGTAGATCGATACTCATGCTGGATTGTCTCGTTCAGACTAGATTGTTTACAGACCGCTGCCATATAGCTGGAATATTGCTGAGTGCGGCGTTAAACAACAACCAACCAACAAACGGATATGTCAGCGAGTGTAGCATAGTGTTGACTTCATTATCCACGGTGACGTCACAGGTGGACGTTTGGACAGTCTTTCAATGAAGCCAGCATTACAGCTCGTGGTTTTCATGGGTTTCAGATTGCTGGATTTCATAGTTGCAAAAACGTTTCATGAACTTAAATAAATTGTTTTTATGCCTCAGCTTTAGAGTTTAATTAGTTGGAAAACTGTCGATAAAGTTCAGCCATGTGGCTTGTATTTAACAATTTTGCACTACATCCTCCCTTGTAAGCATCTAAAGGGACGGTGTAAATGCAGCTAGGGTCCATGCAGGAAGCAAATGTACTGTAAGTCCCCATTGCCGATAGCATGGTGACCTAGCTTCAGATGCTGGCGATCATTAGCCCGTTTCATATGGTATTGTTCTCTATAGTGATAGTGATATCTAACAGTGATATCCAAGTTGTTTTACTGTCCTTTGTCGACAGACTTATCATGTATTTACCTTTTATTAACATATGACCTGTTATGGTCAGGTAAAGGCTGATATATTGCCGATGTGACTTTAATGTTTTACCTCACTTCTCTCCTGTAAAGGATAAAGACTTTATTGTCATGACTTCCTGCTTGTCTTTCAATGGATTGTTGTAATATACTGCACATGACAGCCAACAATGGCGTAACCATGCCACTGTATAATTATGGAGAACACCTAACGACAACCTCCATCTGCCGAACGCCGTCAATACACTGGGTCGGGTCAAGCCGGGTCGTTTTGCAACAATAAGACATTGTGCGATGTCACAGGGGAGTCTTCGAGAATTCGTCTAATATCGTGAACAAGGAAGTTTACAGAAATGTCTTAAGGGATGAAATACATGCTTGGCTGGTTTCGTGAACATGCTCAGATCAATATCTAACAGGGACACTGTAACTGCTGTCTACGAAAAAAGACTTCATGGGCATATTTCAAATATTTTTAAAGTAGGATGAAGTAGGTGCCTACATGAAGTGACATGTTAAATGTCCATATCGACGTCACTGCACGGTACACAGTCAGTGCTCCTCAACAACGCCCACTAACAGGGAAGGTGAAACAACCTGACTCGAGCTTTCCCCGACATTGCATACAGTGCAGTTGCATAATATGTTCTGAAACGAAATGTTGAATTGCATTATATGCATGATTCACTGAATCTGTTAAAAGCATTATCTGAAGGTCCGGGAAGTGTATTGAAAATGCAATCGTCTTTTTCCTGGGGAGTGACATGCACTCTATTGGCATATCGTAACGAATTAGTCATCGTTTGACACTGAATCTATATAAAAACCTCCTTTGTCCTTCTTGTCAAAAACTATTTCAAATAGATAATCTGAATGCTCGCGTTAGCAATGCAGGAGCATGGAGAGATTTTCATGCATGCTGACATTCCAAGGTATATTTTGACAAGTGTACAAGGACGACAAATGTTTTAAATACACTTTATGGACACATTGTGTTAATAGTTTTGAAACATTCTGATAGTAATATTACCAATAGTGATGACTATAGTGGTAAAATGAGGTATGGGAAGTATTTCGGTGTGTCGAAAAGGGAAATTATTTCTGTGGGACTGTACTTTCTCGATTTCTCGGGTATATTATGTCTCCTGTGTAAGTATACATGGTTGAGCGATCATGCATATACATCCATTAATAAAATAATCTCACACATAAATCGACAGTATGTAAATAGCATCCGATGATAAAACAGAAGTATACACTTACATAAATATAGTGTTCTATTTAAGTGAGTGAGTTAAAATGTAAAGTCACATCGGCAGTATTTCAGCCATATCGTGACCAAGAAAGTTGTACATATATAAATGAATCAAAATAACGTTAGCAAATATATTTACCTGTCGGCAAAGGACAGTAAAACAACTAGATTATCACAGAAATAAATTTAAAACTAGTAATTAAATCTAAAATACTTTAACTATAAATGACAAGACAATATAAAAACAGGCTATAGATCGCCAACAACTGAAGGTAGATCACCATACTAGGGACCATGGGGACTTACAGTACATTTGCTTCCTGCATGGACCCTAGATGGATTTACACCATCCCTTCAGCTATTGGCAATTTTAGATAATCTAGCCATAAATTAAAATAACATATATGCTACGATTAAACATAGTGGTAGGTTTAAATTAACTTTGAACTATTTTGGGATCTAGTTATGTATTAAACAGCCATTTGTAAACAGAATTGACACGTCGAGTTAACGACGAAAACACCCACACAAAAAATCACTTGTACACAAACACAAGCACATTTAAAACATGTTCATGCCTTCAACAAGACGACAGTTTTTAACTTAATTTCTTTTGAATTCCGTATCACTAAAAGCATGCAAGATGCACAAGCAGATTTAATTTTATTTTTTTCAGGATAAATATTATAGCTGAAGGACCCTTCTTTCAAGATTATAATATGCACTTCTCAAATCAATAGAATTGTTTTAATAATAATAATAATAATAATGAGTGAATCTGTAACGCGCCAATCTCCACGCCAGCTGGTATGCTGTTGGCGCTACAAGTAAAGTTATTTGGGTGAGAGTCTAGACAAAGTACTTCTTAAATAAAAACGTTTTGAGGAGAGTTTTGAAGGAGTGCAGGCTTGGGGCTGTTTTGAGATCTTAATGCAGGTGTTAATTATGAATTATGTTAAAATGGTCAAAATTCTGTACATCATGAAGAAGGAAAGTGACTTATAGTTAACTTGTGAGCAAACCCTGCTCAATACCCATGCATGTATCATGTCTCTTCATATGACCACACTCTCACGGCACTTCGTAACCTCAACAAACATGTAATATATCTTAAAGTTTAGACAGGACATTCAGTAAAACAATGTTCCAGTCATATGTGTATGAGTGTGTATTTATCATAGATAACAGATAAGGAAACTTCAGCGTGTGCAAAACGCTGCTGCACGTATAGTGACCCAGTCACGTAAATCTGATGACGCTCTGAAACTCCTACATTCTTTACACTGGCTGCCCATTCACTATAGGATTCAATTCAAGCTTCTGTGCCTCACTTTCCGCTGTCTGTCTGGATCTACCCCTTCGTATCTGGCCCAGTCCCTCACACAGCACCGCCCATGTCGCTTTCTCCGTTCACAGGATAAACGTTTCCTCGTTATCCCCACTGTGAGGATTTCTACGTATGGTGAAAGGTCCTTTTCGTATGCAGCCTCTACAGCCTGGAATCAACGACCTCAATATCTACGTGACTGTACAGAACTTTCTAATTTTAAATCTTTACTAAAGACTCACTTTTTTCAGATTAGCTTATGAGTGTAAACGATAATTCCTTGCATTGTTTCCATGAATCGCTCTAATCTTTTATTCTCTCTTGTAGTCTGTTTGTATGTACATCTATGTCTTGCGCTTTGAGCATGTTGTACATGGAAAACAGCGCATTACAAACATGCTATTATTATTACTATTATTTATTATTATTATCATATTGATTGTAGCTTGATATGACTTACACGAACCGTAGCAAGTGAAAACATTCCCTGTATATATTGATATCAAAACGGTCGATCTCGCTGGTCTGGAACTATATAACCTAGTCCGATAAAAGCAATTTGAGCTTCTATTATACTTAAATCAGATTTCTAAGGGTCAAAACAGTCTTAAATACACACGAACAAAGCCTTCTTGTAGTTGGTTCAAGGTATGTTTGCAGTCATTCTGTGGTTGTTTTAGCAACAGAAACTAGATATATAACCTCTCGTGTTGTCCATGGTCATTGTATAGAACTGCAAATCTCTTTAATCGATTCACGAGTACAGTTTCTTTCATGCTGAAACCTCTGTGCTTCGTGTATACTTGAGCATGAATCCGAAAGCCATTAGTTGCAAGCGGCAGATCAGTTCAAACATCCTGGTAGGGATCAATTAATGGTCAATACAAATACTGCCTCCATCTCGCTCATCTTTGTGTTTATATCTTGTGTATGTTCTCACGTATAGACAAGTCAGCAACAATGGTGTGATATGTAAGATGGGAACAGTTTTACTTGCTTCAATACTGGTCATATTCCACTTTACAGGTAAGTATGGCTGAAATATTGCCGATGGGACGTTAAATAATAACTCACTCACTCACTCACTTTACAGGTAAGATGGGTAAAATGTATGTTTAGGAGATAATCCTATTGTGTTTACATTTTGGAAGTGATTATAGTTGGTTGAACGCTGCTAAATGTTTTATTTAGCAACGTTCAACCAACTATAATCAACTTTCAAAATGTAAACACGATAGGATTATCTCCATTCTACCATGAAATATGCACCATGAATAAAACGCGTTTTAAATATGCACTCATTACCTTTGCGTAGTGTTGTTTACTTTTGTAAGGGTTAATGAGTGCAAAATATTCCTACCCGCAGTGAACCGGCTCTCAGAAGTGGTTATTGAAATTTTTCACTTCTATTTTTTAGTAACAGCCAATCAAAAACGAACATACTTAAATGTCATGGTAGAATTACATTTAACCTACCGTTGTATACGAGGTCTGGTGATCATGGTGTTTTACAAAGGCTACTAAATGGCAGTTACTGGGGGTGTTAAAGTTATTGTAACTGACTCGCGAAGACGGAGACGCTTCGCTGTTTGTATAACGATTATATGATTCCTCCAAACTTGAAGTTGGTAGATCATGCAAGTATATATGACCCAGAATACGACCCTCAGTTGTCCATGAAGGCTGAAGCTGAAGTACTCCCCCCAGAGGCGTGGAACTCATAGGAACAGAAATTCCTAGTTCTCATTTGTGAAAACGTTCAGCGGCGTCAGTATTCTATATTATCCTAAGTTCAACAAACAAACTATTCTAGCACTTTTATTTGTTTTCATGACAGATGTGTATTGCGTGGAATGTCGAGAAACCTCCCTTACTTCTGGCTCACGGTCCTTCTCGTGCCTGTACGGATGTTGTGGGGAAATATACCAGCGATACTGCTGTCCAAGTGACGAGGAGTAAGTCGCTTTATGGCCATGCAAACGTCATGTACATTAACATTTTTTTATCTTGATCAATGTAACCTAATCGCTGATGGTCACGTTGATGCAGTCGCTGTGCAGAGTTACGTCTATGTTACGTGTTCTGGAATCAAACGATCGCGGCTTCAAATCCAGAATTCAGACTGATTCTATTTTTGTCGACATGATACACAAGCTCTAGGGATGGTTGTAGCCCATTAGACATACGTCCATTTCTCATACGGCCACTAGTCCGGAACGAGCCGGATTAATCAAAACAACAAAGGGCATGCTCCCTACCATATAATAGACTCGCCCGCTTTTCTTGTGTGAGAGCCAACTGCTTGTCAAACATAAGTTAATACGTCTACTCTGCATACCGATTGTTTTGAATACGTTCTTAGAAAAGCGATTCGAATTGAACTATTATGCCAATTTAAGGAAATACTCCATTTTAAAACTTAGTGTCTCTTGAGTTCCTGGACGCTGCTAGATATTTGTATCCACCAGACATCTAAACTGACTCTGTGTGTGAAAAAGTACAGAAAGTCATGAAAGTTGTAATTAACGCCAGGATTTTTTATTACTTCGGGTTTTATTCTCAAATTCAACTGATATCACATTTAACCACTATTTATGCATGTAATATGTAACAGTACTGCAGACAACCACTAATCATAAAGGCGAGATGGTATATTTACATCTGATCGTGACCGTATGCACAATCAAATTGTAGCCGTCATAAGTTTCTGATGTCCTGTGCTACTGTTAAGTAAAATATGTTTCACGTAAAATGAATTTCCACTATGTCTTGATGTCGGAATAAGTCACCTTACCCCGTTTTGCAAAGCGATATAAGCGCTACGCCTATCGTACGCTTATGTTAAAGTATGGGAATGTCACCTTGTGGAACGGGGCCCAGCACTGGTTGCTTGTCGTAAAAAAAACTGAAAAGGGATCAGATGATGTGGCTCTGTAAGTAATGTGACGGTATTCATATTGCAATGGTTTGCTCAAGTATTTACAGGCGACGGTGATGTCACTGGAACGTGGTTACATGACTGGTATACATCATTGTTACAATTCTGTTCTTTCCACATGCATAAACATTCAATCTGAGACAATTTTACTTATCAAATGTTTTCTGTGGAAGGGCGTTCCCCATCGAGGTTGTCAAGGCAGGGATTGGAGTAGGCGCCGTCCTGGTTCTAGTTGTCATAGTAATTCTTGTCGTCTTTATGTGTAAGAAGAAGACGTCACACACACGGGCATTGGTCGTTCCTCAGAATGTGAACTTGAGAACCTCAACGATTCCGCCGCCAGGTAGGTGAAGTCCTGTAAATTCAATTCAATGTGAAGTGTGTAAACATTCTGTTCCAGGTCTCACTATTGGCCTGGTATATACCTATCTCTTGATGTTATGTGTGCACATTTTACTCAACCCCTTTCCATTGAATGGTGTATCTGACTGTCACTCACACGACCTGACTGACACATGCCACTAGCAACTTCTTGAATACACTCAAAGCTCAGATTGTACTTTAGACTTTTTTGTATCATAAATAGTAGTAGTTGGCTGTTGTATGAAAATCTCCTTACACAGTGGGGCCAACAATAGTTACGATAATACGATCTACCTGTCTCAAATGTCCGTTGTACTCTATGAAGTATCATGTTGACTATTTCACACTAACAATCAAAAATGACAAAATGTTCAGGCAACCTTGACTGACAGGTGTAACTCGAAAAACATTTGTCCAAATTTTAAGTAGATGTGAATTGTGCACATGTATATATAGATGTATGTTCGTCTCATAAGTCAGCTGGTAACAATCGAATGAAACTGCTAGCCATATATATTGCCTATTACACTGTACAATAAATCAAATATATTTTATCGATGTTATTGGACCATAAAATATCGATTTATGAAGAAAGCTTTACACTTAAGGCACCGAATATTTACTATTTTAGGTTCATGAAACATTCTTCGTAGGATCAGACATGTTATATTGTAACAAGCTGTAAGTCTGTCGTTACTTCCGTTACATGGTACGTGATCAGGCCGTGTATTGATAAACCGATCGATCCTGACATCTGTAGTATTTGCTGACTGGTTTAGCAAGGAAACGATTAATAAAGCTACCATCATGATCAAACAGTCAGATTATTTATAGCAGAAAAATGCCAAACGGATACAATACTGGAACAACTTACACTCTAAGGGGTTTTGTGAATTATCTGTCCCTGTAATTTTTAATATCAAGGCCACTTGCTCAAAGCGATCTAGCGCTACGACCATCTTAAGTCTATGTTACGGCGTGGGATGTTACGATCATCGTGTCGGTAAGGTCACTTTGTGCAAGTGGGGGCTGTTCCTTGTCGGGTAGTAATCGGTCTAATATCCCACCATTTTTGGAGAGTATCTACAAACGAGTTTTTGGCAATAACAACAGCAGAGTCAGTGTACTGAACTGTAGCAGATGTTTGACGTCATGGACGATGAGAGAGTTATGATGTAAGTGAGTTCCCCCGTAGCACACCCATTATGTTTCAGAATCCCCGCTCGGGAAATATAAATATATACCTGCATGTTGTGTACATCTATGTTGAGATCGTTGGTAGCCACAAGCCTGTGTGTGGTATCCAAAACGTTGTGCCGTCGTTAAACAATTTACGTTTACAACTGTGTTGGTATTACGTCAACGCTGTTCTTCGGATTAAGTCATCAGTTAGATCATAAGGGTGATAACATATCCTTACTTTTCAGATACAGGATACACCTTGAAGCCAGAGACTGTCCAGGCCGGCTACCCCCCGACTCAGGCCTTCCCCGGGGGTGATGTATACACAGGACCTGTGCTCCCTGGCTACACGCAGTCCTACAACGCACCCCCTCCACCTTATAATAACAATGATGTTGTGCCCGTCAACTGCTGACAACATTTACTCCATAAGTTACACGACGGTCAAACACGAATACACAATATTCATTGACTTGCTTATATGTATATATATCTATATATCTCTCTTGGAGGTTACGCTCCAGTCTGGTGAGAAAGAATCAAGTTCGAGTCCCACATGGTTTCGATGTCTGAACTTAATTCGTCTTTGATGAAAGATGCTGCTGCACCCTTTGTAGTAGTTGAGTAAACGGCTGTCCTATCTAACTGAACGTAACCATCGTCCGATCTGTACTAAATGCTGTTCTTTACTATGAATGGAGTATGAGAATTTGAGAATACTAAAGTGTAGTATTGTAAGGTTACTACCCTATCGGAACGTCTCCCAAACGGATATAAAATAATATTTCAAATTTAGATACAATAATCTTTAAATCTACTTCTATTACGAACAAAACGGGGCGGCTAGTTCGAGCTCGGTACAACCGTAGTTTGTTATAGGGATTTCAACTAAAATGTACACCAAGCTACCAATAAAACCAGTTCGTTATAAGACTGTTCGTTATATATAGTTTTCTCATTTATAATAGTTATCACGTTTAGTTCCTCGTTTTAGGCCAAAAGGTAAGTTCGAAATTTTAGTTGATTAGGATTTAAGTTAATTAGCATAGCTCTGCCCAATCGTTTTATTTTCCACTGCGCAACATTTGGTAGCAGAGCGTGGTTTCTCTGGTTAGAATATTCAGTTATAGTTGTGTTAGCATTTAGTTCAGTTAGATAGTTTAAGACATAGAATAGTTACTGTGAAATAACTATTCACTATGTCAGAGTCCAAGGCAACTGCTGGGGCTATGTTAGAGGTCGCTCCTGGCGAGATAGAACTGAGAATAGCTAAACTTAAACATCAGAAGACTGTATCAAAGTCGGCTTTAACTAAAGCAAAGAACAAATTGTTGAATTTAGTTGAAATTGAGACTCCAGATCGTAAAACAATCAGGAATGCCATAGACCAGGTTAGTTCCTTGCAGAGCAAGGCTACAGGTATCCTAGTGGAGTTATTAGAGGCTTACAGCTTGATTGGTGACTCTGACAAAGTTCAGAAAACCAGTAAGGAAATTGAAATTGTTGAAGATGAGATTCAACTGGCCCTTGATAATGCTGAAGGGTTTCTTAGAACCAATGCACCTGCTAGTTCAAAGGCATCGAGCATTAAGTCTGGAATATCAAGGTTATTTCATTCTGACGCAAGTCATTCGCATGAGAACTGTAAAGGTTCACAACATAGTTCAGGCGTTAGTCAAGGTGCCAAACCTAATTCACCCAACATAGGCTGTGTTTCACAAAAGTCAAATGTGGTTAGAAAGCTTCCACTTAACACCGAAGGTATTATTCCTCTTCAGGTAAGTCATCTAGGCAGCACAATTTAGGTGAAGACATGTGGAAACAATTGAAGCGAGTATCCATCCCAGTATTTCATGGTGACACTAGAGAATACGAAGGCTGGAAAGCTGCTTTCATGGCATGTGTTGATAAAGCTCCAGCCACTAATGAGTATAAGCTTCTGCAGCAAGCTAAAACAGTATCTTTCTGGTGAAGCAGCACAACTTGTAGCTAAGTTAGGTCACAGTGCTTCAGTCTATGATGTGGCCTTAGAAAGGTTGGATAGAAAGTATGGCGGCAAACGACGCCAGATAGCATTGAAACTGGAAGAAATATATAATTTCAGGCCAATACGACCAGGGAGTGCTAAAGATTTGGACAATTTCGCTGACATGCTTGATGTAGCTGTGGTCAGTTTGAGGGAATCTGACACGATAGAGGAATTGGGGAGTGGGTGTTTGTATTCACTACTGGTTAAAAAGATGAATGAGGATATGATAACGCAGTTTCACAGATGGATGTTTGAGCACCAAAGACAAGAGTCAGTTGAGACACTTAGGGAATGGATACTACAAGAGGCAGAGTTCCAGACAATAGCTTCAGAGGTAAAACATGGAATAGTTAACAAAACAAAAACAGATAGGAGAGATAGCAACAAGAAAGGAACATTCGCAAGCACACATAACCGAGCTAAGGCACGGCAATGTCATGTTTGTCATGGAACAGATCATGACACGTGGGGCTGTGCACAGTTCAAATCTCTTGGTCTACCAGAAAGGTGGGATAAGGCAAAACAGTTAGGTTTATGCTTTCGCTGCCTTGACATCGGTCATCTGGGTAAATCGTGCAGTAGAATTGTGAAATGTGGGCTTGATGGATGTAAGGCTAATCATAACAGGTTACTTCATGACAACAGCAAAGTGGCCAGGAACGATAGGGCTGACAGTGGTATTGCGGAGGTTAATGATACAACCACAAAGTCTCATGAAAGTAGATCAGAGACAACCACCTTGTCAACTTCTAAACAGGAAGCACATTATCTTGCTCTTAGGACAATTCCTGTCATTCTTAAGAATGGTAATCACAGAATGACTGTGAACGCATTGCTCGATGATGCTAGTACGCATACTTACATCAACGAGGATGTAGCATATGAACTTGGTGTGCAAGGTAATACACAACAAGTGTCGGTCAATGTCCTGAATAATAAACAGGAGACATTTGACAGTATGCTAATTGATGTTGGCCTAGAGAGTATGGATGGTTCAGTAGACATGACAATTACAGCTTTGACAACTACCAAAGTAACGGGTAGAATGAAAGTTATTGATTGGCGTAAACATGCAAAGCAATGGCCACATTTGAGGAATATTCAATTCCCAGAGGTAAGTTCTCGGCCCATAGTTGACATCCTAATAGGTATGGACTATTTAGAGCTATCTAACTGAACTAAACTATCTAACTGAACTAAATGCTAACACAACTATAACTGAATATTCTAACCAGAGAAACCACGCTCTGCTACCAAATGTTGACATCCTAATAGGTATGGACTATTTAGAGCTGCATTCTTCTCTCAAAGAAATCTGTGGGCTTCCAAGAGAGCCAGTAGCTAGGTTGACACCTTTAGGCTGGACTTGTGTGGGTCAGATACCAGGTTTAGACAGGCATGCAACACATGTTGCAGATTCATTCTTCATCCAGAATACGGAGGTAGATGCAGATACAAATCTTGACTCTTTGATTCATTCGTTTTGGGAATCTGAAAGCATTTCGGGTTCAACAACAGTTAGAAGTCTTGATGAGGATGTTGCAGTTAAGGCTGTAAAACAATCTCTTGTGTACAAAGAAGACAGATATCAGGTTGGCATTCCATGGAAGGAGGGTCGTGATAGTCTGCAAAACAATTATGACATGGCACACAGTCGCCTTGTCAATATAGAAAAGAAATTGTCAAAAGATCAAACCATATCAGAAGCCTACAATGACATCATAGAACAGTACATACAAAAGGGTTACATCAGAAAAGTACCTGAAACTGAAATAGGTCAAAGTAAATGGTTCTTGCCCCATTTTCCGGTAATTAAACCTGACAGAACTACAACAAAGGTAAGAATAGTATTTGATGCTTCGGCAAGGAATAAAGGCATATCCTTGAATGATGTTATTCATCAAGGCCCTAAACTACAGAATGATCTGTTTGAGATCTTGCTGCGGTTTCGGAAACACCCTGTTGCAATCATTTGTGATGTTGCTGAAATGTACCTCCAAATTGAACTTGCTCAGGATGACCGTACATATCTAAGGTTTCTTTGGAGATCGATGGATCAAAACAAAAAGCCAGATGTGTTCGAGTTTTCAAAGGTTGTATTTGGACTAAATTGTTCTCCATTTTTAGCTCAGTATATCACTCAGGAACATGCGAAATCACTTGAGAAAGAACTTCCATTAGCTGCAGCTACAATAGAAAAGTCAACCTACATGGATGACAACATTGATTCTGTAGAGACAGACAGCAAAGCTATAGAGCTCTACAAACAGCTGCAACAGCTGTGGAGTAGTGCAGGAATGCATGCTCGTAAGTGGGTCTCTAATTCCATACCAGTTCTCCAACAAATACCAGAAGTAGACAGACTAAAGGAGATAAACATTCAAATGAGTGAATTGCCATCTGTAAAAGCATTGGGCTTACTATGGAGTGCTGACTCAGATGAGTTTAGGTTCTCATTCATGTCGTCTAGGCAGGATATCAAGATGACTAAGAGGAACTTCTTTGAAAGAAACTGCTAGGTTGTTTGATCCTTTAGGGTTCCTAGGTCCATTCACCATAAGAGCTAGAGTTATCCTGCAAGAGATGTGGCTATCGGGTGTAAACTGGGATGACACTGTTAGTCCAGATCTGGAACAAAAGCATGGACTTGGTACCCACGAGGTTGAAAGTTTGTGCTCGCTTAGAGTTCCAAGGGGACTCAAGATCAACTTAGATACTTCGAGAATGAAGTTGCACACATTTGTAGATGCTTCAGAAGTAGCGTTTGGAGCTGTAGTTTTCTCAGTTACAACTCAAGGGGATTGTCAAAGGACTAGTCATCTGGTAGCTTCAAAGTGTCGTGTAGCCCCTCTCAAAGCAGTTAGTATGCCACGGTTGGAGCTTCTCGCTGCTGTTCTTGGGGTTAGACTGATTCTTGCAGTAGCAAAAGCATTAGAGTTGCCTCTACAATGTGTAACATTGTGGTCTGACAGTCAGAACGTCCTTTGGTGGATTAGAAGACAAAGTAGATGTTTTAAACCATTTGTAGCAAACAGGATTGCATACATACAGGAACATACAAACATCAGTCAATGGAAATACGTCCCTTCCAAACAAAATGTTGCAGACATTCTTAGTAGAGGTGCAGATGTTGAAACCCTTTCCACTGACAAATGGCTGCATGGTCCTACATTTCTGACTCGTGATGAAGATGAGTGGCCAAAAACAGACAGTTGCCTATGACAACTGTGAGAATCCAGAACTAAAAGGCCTTCTCAAGTAAACGTAGTCATGTTTACTAAATCTGACTCAAACACTGATAGGTTAGAACCAAATAGATATTCTAGCTGGAAGAGACTCTGCAGAGTGTATGCTTGGGTCTATAGGTTTCTTAACAATGCTAGAGCTCCATGTTCACTTAGAAAGAAGGGTGAACTGGATGCGGAGGACATTGAGGACGCAGAAACAGCAATACTTGTAAGAAATCAAAGGGAAGAATTTCCTGATGATTACTCTTCACTGATGAGAAAATCAGAGTTGTCAGCAAACAGTAAGTTGGTCGGCCTACAGCCTTTTGTTGATGACAATGGGCTAATGAGAGCAGGAGGCAGACTGAGGTTTGCGGATGTATTGTCTTTCGATGCCAGACATCCTATTATACTCCAAAGACATTCCTGGGTTACCAAACTGGTTGTCAAATATTATCATGAGCAGGTGAGTCACATGGGTACAAATAGTACGTTGTCGGCCTTGTCCACTAGATTCTGGATTATTTCAGCTAGAGAGGAAATACGTCAGTGGGAAAGACAGTGTTCATGGTGTAAAAGGCAAAAAGCCAAACCAGCACATCAGATAATGGCAGATCTCCCTAAGGTTAGGGTACGATGTTCAATGAAAGCATTTGTGACAACAGGTGTGGATTATGCAGGTCCGTTTTACACGGTACAAGGTCGAGGTAAGAGTCGACAAAAACGTTATCTCTGCCTTTTCACATGTCTGTCAACACGAGCAGTACATTTAGAAATGGCTTTTGGGTTAGACACGGATTCGTTTCTGAATGCCTTGTTTCGTATGGCGCACAGACGTGGTATGCCAAAGGATATAATCTCGGACAACGGGACTAACTTCGTTGGGGCTGCAAGAGAGCTGAAACAGCTCGTTGCTGGCCTAGATTCAGGCGTAGTTAAATCAACTTTGGCAAACAAAAGTGTCAACTGGATTTTCAATCCCCCAAATGCTCCATACTTTGGAGGAGTCTTTGAGTCGTTGGTGAAGTCGGCCAAAAGAGCTATGTATGCTATTTTGAGTTCAGGGGATGTTAGTGATGAGGAACTCATGACAGCTTTCATAGGAGTGGAAGCTCTTATGAATTCTAGACCTCTGACGTATCAAAGCGCACATCCACAGGATGATGTTCCACTCACGCCCAATCATTTCCTACATGGTCAGGTAGGTGGGGAATTTGCGCCAGAGTTGGACTCTACCTCCTTCAGCCCTAAGAAGCGATGGAGAAGAGTTCAAGAACTCATTAGACACGTGTGGAAACGATGGATGAGGGAGTGGCTCCCATCTCTCAACATCAGGAAGAAATGGTTAACACCATGTCGAGACCTGCAGGTGGATGACGTTGTGATTGTAGTGTCTTCGGATACTCCTCGTGGAGTTTGGCCTTTAGGCAGAGTATTGAAGACCTATCCTGGAAAGGATGGTCACGTGCGCGTTCTTGATGTTCAGGTTGGCTCTACAGTCTTGAAAAGGCCTATCACAAAAGTCTGCCCTCTTGAGTGGAGTTAATGGTGAAATGGTGAAATGATGCCTGTAACAGCAAAAGATGTACATACTCATAGATAGTTTTGCTTGGTTCTCCCATTTAGTCAGTTTTAATGATAGACAGGGATCTATCATGGAGGGGGGCATGTTCTGAAGGCATTTTGGTTTCATCACTGAAACTGCTCTCTCAAACGCACTCAGTGCATACTAGGCGTATCACCCGAACACACCCGGTGAAATGCACGGGAAAAACGAGTACCATTGCATATATAAGACGGTGATCAGCGATACACGGGGCATTCGCTCCTTTCTGCCATTAGGTGCTGATCGTTACATGTCGTGTGTTGGCATTTATTTAGAATTACGAATGACTCAGATGTTAGATATGTAGATTCAAAATTAGCGGTATTTAGCAGTATTTAGCAGTTCGTTTCATCTCAAAGTTCAGTTAGACTCATTTAAGAGAATCACGTTTAGTTCTTTGTAAATTTCATAGTTTTCTCATTTATAATAGTTATCACGTTTAGTTCCTCGTTTTAGGCCAAAAGGTAAGTTCGAAATTTTAGTTGATTAGGATTTAAGTTAATTAGCATAGCTCTGCCCAATCGTTTTATTTTCCACTGCGCAACAAAGCCCACACAAGCTTTTAAGTCTAGAAAATGTGGCAAGTCAACAGCTCTGAAAATGAAGAAAGTCTCAGGGCTCCTTTTCATTATATTTTATTTTCTTCTACTATGAACCCTTTTTCTGTAAAATTTGTTCATTTCAGAGACTAGCTGTTAGTCTATGTCCGACTCAACAGGCTTGCGAATAATTACGGTGAACACGTCACCGTAGATCGAGCCAGAAATTGGGCTGTGGATCTTATCGGTAAATTATTGTGTGCTGCAACTGTGAAGCAATTGCAACATCCAGCTTTTGATACAGTGGACTACCTTTGGACGCCTAGGATGCAAATGCTAGGCATAGTTCAAAAGGAATATTGGAGTGACACGGGGCCTTTGCGTTTACCGGACAAGTTTTGGACTGTGGCGTTGGTCTTCAGTTATTTGTGAGTATGTGTTTTAACAATTTCAATTTGCATAATTTTGCATAATTTAGTGGTCTGGAACACCCTTCTTTCACAGTGGTTGTACCACGTGTTTCATAGCGTTTGCATTGTCTGGTGGGTTTGGAAGAGCGGCTAATCTAAGCATAGTGGAGTCTTGGGTACCAAGTTTGCTATTTCCAACTGGTTGGCTTTTAAACCAGGATATTTTAAACCAGGATGTTCGGTCTGTAAATAATCGAGACTGGACCAGGCAATCCATTAATCAACAGCATGAGCATCGATCACCGGTTGGGATACGGTGACATGTGTCAGCCAAGTCAGCGAGCCTGACCACCCGCTCCCGTCAGTTGCCTCTTAGGACAAGAATGGCATACTGAAGAACAGTTCTAACCCGGATCTTCACGGACTACAGTTGGTAGCCTCAATCTAGACATAAACTACTGTTACCCATAGTGGCAAAGAAACAGGGAACCATTATTTCACGATTTTCTCACACAGTTTCCTGATTTGCAAGACTGTACCTTTTTTTTAATTTGCCCGTTTCTCGCGAAGAGGCTCTGTAGCAAAAACACCATCCATTGTGTATGAAGTCACGAAAGGTGTGATGTGACGTCATTCCAACAATAGGCTGAGCATGTTTAGAGTGAGTGAGTATGGTTTTACACCGCTTTAAGCAATATTTTGGCAATATCACGATTGGGGACACCAGAAATGGGCTTCACACATTTTACCCATGTGGGGAATCGAACCCGGGTCTTCGGCGTGACGAGCAAACGCTTTAACCACTAGGCAACCCCACCCCCCATCCCCCACACATGTTTAGAACTACAAAAGAAGGACTATTGTAATAGAGATAATTGCTTCAAACAAAGTCCTAAACCTTTTTAATGAAAGTACAGGCATTATCATTGAAATCATAAATACTAATCTAAGGACTCAGATTACCTCCACATGCACTATGAACTATATACCGATCCCAGTTTGCACACCATCACATTCAATCAATATTGCTGTTAATCCTGTATTGATTTTACCAATGGCAACGGGCGGTTCACACAAACATAGAACAAGTCCATGGATGAAGACAAGGCCTATTTTTACTGAGTCATGGAATACATCTTATACCCGCTACTGCTCCTTATTTTCAATGTTTCAGGTAAGGACTCACTACAGCCTAAATCGTGGTCAATCTATCCTTTCAAAATGCTTCATACTATTCTGAAAGTCGCCATGAAATGCTTAACTCTCATCACACTTCGTGTATGGAAATGGTGGATGGTCGATCAATATCACCCTGTCACCACACTGTAGCCAGTGATACCTGATACTAGCATTGGTGATGATGAATATCAGGAATATTACAGTGTGTAATGTTAATGACGGCTATATGTTCATATTATCCACATGTTCTTTTCAGATAAGTTTATCTGTCGGTTATAGTTTCATTTTATCAACATGATTATAACAAAATGTTTTAAATGTGAAAAGTTCATGAATACTACTGTCTATTGTACGGTTTACGGTATGAAGTAACTGACCATACAGACACATCTGATCAATTATAAGAAAAATGGGACAAACGCGTGTATATCGACGTCATCATTCCTCTTCTTCAGGTAAATGTTATTGAAAATCATTCTGTGAATTACTTCGTATTTTGATATCCTAATTTTCAAAAACAACTTACATTACACTCAATACATATTGCCGTATGTGGTCCTGCGTCTCGAGGCCAATGACTAAAATGGTTGTACTCAAAGCATATTTGACGGTAGACCACACCCAGTATTCAGGTCCTGTAGTTTTGAATGTGATAGTTCTTGAGACGCCATGAGCTCATGGAAAATACTGTTCATTTGTTTCACAGAGATTCGGCTGAATACTTCATTTAAGGGAAGTGCCAGGGTTATGTATGTATCAAATATCTGCTTTGTTCAATGTGGATATGTTGCACAAACTCAGGAATGGCATTAGTCGCTGGCCACATACGACTGAAATATTCATAGTGTTGCGCCTACATTACTGATGTGTCATTGTGATATTCCATTTTGCAGCTGATATATATTTTATACATTTTAACATTTGGAGTCAAATGACGATAATTTGGTCATTCTGACATATTGTAATAAAAGTATTTTGGGCTAAAAAACCCCACCTGAATACGACTGAAGGTAATATCGATTAATTCCCAACTTATAAGTAAATTGGAATGGTAAACGTGCAGCAGGGACTGATAAATTGTTAAAGAAATTGTCTCAACGCTACTGCGAACATTATTTCAGCTTTACCCAGTGTGTGATCTAAATTTGCTAAGGAAGCGTGAAAATACCATCAGGTCGTAGCTATTTACCTATTATATTACGGTGACAAAACGATTCTTGGTTGATATTATATATACATACATTTAGGAAGATTTGGTTTCAAGTCCTTGATCAACAAATCCCAGAAAGACTGAATTTTGTCGGCCATTTGCCTTCGTTTAAATGATCTGTACGGTTAAAGTAGATACAACACAGATGTATGTGTATGTGCCACTGCTTCCAGATGTGCTGGGTGTTCTGTGTAGCAGAAAGACCTACTCCTACTACTCCAGCACCACCTACTTCACCTGTACTTATGGCTGCTGCGGTTCCTCCAGTACCAGATACTGCTGCTCCAGGTAACACCGGGTAGACACAGGGTAAACTCAGGTAGTGTCAAGATAGACACAGGGTAAACACAGGGTAAGTTCAGGTAGTGTCAGGATAGACACGGGTAATCTCAGGGTAAGGTCAGGATAGACACTGGTATTCTCAGGGTAAGGTCAGGATAGACACGGGTAATCTCAGGGTAAGATCAGGATAGACACGGGTAATCTCAGGGTAAACACATGGTAAACACAGGGTAAGTTCAGGTTGTGTCAGGATAGACACGGGTAATCTCAGGGTAAGGCCAGGATAGACACGGGTAACCACAGGGTAAGGTCAGGATAGACACGGGTAATCTCAGGGTAGGGTCAGGAGAGACACAAGGTAAACTCAGGATAGACACGGGTAATGTCAGGGTAAGGTCAGGATAGACACAAGGTAAACTCAGGATAGACATAGGTGTCTATCTCATGGTAGGATCAGGATAGACACAAGATAAACTCAGGATAGACACGGGTATTCTCAGGGTAGGGTCAGGATAGACACAAGGTAAACTCAGGATAGACACGGGTAATCTCAGGATAGGGTCAGGATAGACACAAAATAAACTCAAGATAGACACAAGGTAAACTCAGGGTAGACACAGGGTAATCTCAGTGTAGACACAGGGTAATCTCAGGGTAGCGTCAGGATAGACACAAGGTTAACTCTGGAAAATCACAGGTAAACTCAAATTAGGGTGGACACACTGGAGTCATACTACTCCCGATATATTCGGTTATTGAAAGCACATGTTTGCCCTCAGATTAAACATACCTGCAGGCTTGACGAAACTATAAACACGAAGCTGTTCACTGTGGCTCTCGTTTGCAATATTGATTTATCCACAAAGAACTTGTTTTTATCAGGAATATCACGCTTAAGAATGACATTAAATGAAATAAATATTAATAATACACAGCGAACAAAAAGTACCATTTACATCAGTGGATACGGTATGAATAAGGTACATAGTCCATCTCCAATACAGATTAAATTAAACATTTTTCTGGGCTCCATTTGGATTTTATTTTTAATTTTGTACATAAATATCATTAAATGGAATAACATATTTCAGGGAATAAATGAATAAATGTGACGTTATACAGTCCCATGCTCTATCTGCATCACGTATACATCATAATACAACACACTCAGTTACAGATCGATACACACTGAATGGACCAACTGCCACACAAATCGAATACTGCACTACTATGTTTATGTTTATTGACATACATCATATATTCCGTACATGTACATTTCATTTCAACAAGGGGATGTAAGTAAGCTATGTTTGTTTTGCTGCAGATCTGCTGTCAGCGTTCGGTTAACCGGGGGCAGCACAGCTGGTATTGTTGTCGGTGTCCTCTTCATCATCTTCTGCATCGTCATCGTCGCTTACCTCTGTAAGAGGAAGCGGTACCACGGGAGCATGATGAGGCCAGGTGCTGTCGGACCGCAAACAGTTCAAACTGTGCACGTCTCACATACTTCAGGTAGATACCAAGGGGAAATAAAACTCAGTCACATACCCATTAGGACCAGGATAGCGATATCATGACAATTTACAAAAACTTCACATGATGCTCCCATGTACAAAGGAGAAGACACATCTCCGCCATGACTCCTTAAGACACAACTGGAGGCTGCCCAAAAGATGCGGGTTAGAATTTGTCCTCAGCAACCCATGCTTGTCGTAAGAGGCAACTAACGGGATCGGGTGGTCAGGCGCACTGACTTGGTTGAAGCATGTCATCGTATCCCAGTAGGGGAGATTGATGCTCATGATATCAATCACCAGACTGTCTCATCTGGACTCGATTATTTACTGACTGCCATCATTTAGCTGCAATACTGCTTAGTGTGGCGTTAAACAACAAACAGACACGTGCAGGCACAAGTTCAATATGCCCATAAGGTGTCATGAGATGGTGTGTCGGGGTTATATATCTTCAGGATCTTACTATGGTTCTAGATTTGTCAGTACCATATCCGCGGTGTAGACTTTACCAAAGTGGTAGACGTGTACATACCCTTCAACACACCTTGTCTGCCACATATCAAACAAAGGTGTAATTTTAAATTTCTTTAATAGCGCCGTTACACCATATTCACTAGAATGTACATTCTTTGTCTTGAGTTCATGATGCCAGTAGAAATGCCTATACAAGCATATTCACCGCAGACCTAATTCCTCATTTCAGGTGCAATGATGGGCCCACCCCGTCAGAGTTACCCGCCTATGTATCAACCCCCTGCATATGGTCAAGCAGTGATGTACCCTCAGCCTGCACCAGCGATGCGCCACCCGCAACCGCCGCAACCAATGCATTCTGCACCCTTGGACCCAGGCTACGTGCCCCCAGCTCCATTGTACAGCGCCCCACCCCCAATGTACAATGCACCTCCTCCAGCCTACAGTCAGGTACAAAGTTACCCCCCGGGACAGTACCCTCCAACAAAACAATAGGACACAACAATAGGACATCTCTCAAAATCAAAATTATAACTTGTCATGATTTTAAGAGCCCTGGGCATTATAGGTCAGCCATTGGGACGGTACCGGTTAAATAATCGCAATTACAAACGAATATTTATATTTATGATGGGCATGAAATTCTACATGGACATAACAGTTTAGGATGTCTGCTGGTGAGGCTTTGTGTTTAAAGTGCATCTAGGTCTGTGCATTTAACAGGATGCTACGTAACTACGATGATGCGTTAAATCATTGTAGATTTGTAGCAGTGCAGACCACATTTATGACAGAGCTCGTATTATTCACAACAGATAGATGTGACGGTAGTGGAACTGCAACATTCTTTAGCCAACATGCATGACGGTCTTTCATAATCACCTTTGTTACTGAAATGCCACTGTGCATCAACAATGGTGAAAACATGGCTAAGTGAATGCACACTACGTTAAGGAAATTATAAAGATTGTGGTCAACAGAAGTTGTATCTGAATATTGTTCACATACTTTGAAATATCAAGTGCTATAATTTATACGCCCATTATTATTATTAAGATATTATGCCTAAACATGCTGCCATGATAAAGTTTTAATTAGCAACGGAGTGCAGAGCGATCCCTTACTACTTTCCAATTTAAAACTACCTCCCTTAAAATGTAAATGTATCTAAATGCAGACCCACAGCTGTAAATATGCTTGTAATCATCCACGCATTCTTGTATTTGTCGCGGTGTGTTTCGAGTTGCGTAATGCCTTTGGATGTCCTTTTTTAGCATACATCCCCGACTTTGTCCATGATAAAATGGCCCTTTAAGGATTGAGTCAATCTCAAAATTCGTGCATATTTCATGTAGGCAAAAATTGGAAATTTCGTTTTCTTCTTTTACCTTGAAATGTTGTTGATTATGTTCATAGTATTCTGAATATCCAAAACATAATTTATGCAAACTTAACGACGTTTTATTTTTCATATTTTATCCTTTTATTAGAAATTTCACGAAATTGCGTCACTACCGTTACGAAATTTGTAACATCATTTTGAAAAAATAATCCAAAGATGATCTTCATTAAATGTAGATATGTAGTTTTACAACAAAACATTGCTAATGAGTTTTGAAAATTTATATTCATTGCTTAGAGGGGCCAACAATTCCTTTCTTTTCTGATTTGCAAATATAACGTAATATGAAGCAAAAAATCCAAAATGAGAATATGAATTGTATTATGCTTACTTGAAGCTCTACTACCAAACATACATGCACTACAAAATCCAAACATAAACAGATAAATAAATTTTAGTTAGATAAGAAAAATGATAATGTTATTGTATGGACATTGGCATTAACGGTAGTATCATTCTTATTAAAAGCCAGTTTTTTATGTTTACTTTAAAAGAAAATTTAATGGAATTTGTCAGTCAGATATTTCAGAATGTTTGAAGAATATTTAATAAGCAAAATATTTACTTATGGATGTCCCTGTCTTGTATAAAACAGGTAAAGACTGCATGTTACGGCAGTGGCATTGTGACTGCAAAATAATTTTCCATACAAAAAAGGCCAAACCAAGCCAAGCATGTAGCTGTAACATCATTAATTATCATATGTTAAGTCATTTCTTTTGAAAACCATGAAAAAGACAACAACAAAAATCAAATTGCACATCGGCCACTGGAGTTGTGTTGTTTTGGGGGTTTAAAATAAATATAAAGATATGTTTTCCCATTTTTTTACTGTAAAGTATAGAATAAACTGAGATAAATTGGTTACCATAAAAAATTACTGACTTTGACTTATGTTTGTTTGGTACAAACATATAACATAAATATGCACGAATTTTGAGAATGACTCTATTACAATTTGGAAATGGCCCCAACATTCTATGGCAGTGGTAAAAGGCGACACATTGGATTGGGCCAAGCTTGGATTGTAAACGATGAATCGAGGATTGATGTTCATATAATCACAGAGTCCTGTCCAGTGTTTAAAGGCCACATATCGCTGGAATACTGCCGCGTTAAAGATGAAACCAACAGACTAGACGAACATGATATCTCTGTGTAATCGATGTACCAGTGTAAGGAGTTTTTGGTTGTATACATATGATTCCGGCTACAATGATACATCGCAAAGTATTGCGGTAAACGTATCAGCGAATGTCTATATAGAGAGACATTTGTCTATAGATATATTTTATTTTGTGAACTGTAGATATATAACGTTATTGTACATATCCGTTGCAGTCACTTCGGTTCATTTTCACACCTTACCCACACCACGACTGTGCCTTATAACGGGTTCCAGCGCTATGTACACAAAGGCGCTTGTGTGTAATGACTTTGATTCTTCACACCGAGAATGTTTGCTTTGTACATATATATAAATTAATTTTATTATTATAAGCCACATACAGTTAATGATGTAATGGTTTTTCAACTTTTGTTTCCTGTGGTTGCTTTGATCACGTGTCAAAACTATTGCCTTCATGAGGTATAGACCCTCACGAAAGTACGTTCAGTACGTGTTCTCTGATATAAAATGTAGATTTTCGAACAGACATGTTACGCCCACACAAATGAAAAGTCAAATTATCTTTCAACTTCAACCTTTGAAACAATTGTTTATGGTTTCATTGTAAAAGGAACCCACATAAATGTAAAGCCTGATCTAAGGCGTGGTATGTCTCCCAGAACCTCGCACCGCTCTTAATATGCATACAACCACTATATTGCATCGCGACAGTGAAAACATTGTATTAATGATGTGTGTATAGTGCATGTTCTAATGACATGGAGGCAATGTGTGTGCCAGAGACACATACGTTCATTTGAACCTGTCTGTGATACTTGTAAAAATATATGATAGCAAGATATCTGATGTTTACCACCATGTACCCTGTGTTGAACTGTTGATTTATGTAGCAAATAAAGACTTGGAATGTGATGTGTTCGGCTCTTGTTCACAACGTAAAACCCTGTGGTATTCATGGCTTGCTTGAAACCACGTCCTAGGCTGTGAGTGAGTCATATTTTCTGTGGACTGTTGCTGACAATGTTAATCATTAGATGTTCTGATCCAGTCTCGATTATTGTCAGAAACGTAAATGAGCTCTGTGTAAAACAACAACACATACACACGCGCGCGCACACACAAACACACTCAAACAGAAATGTATACACACACACATGTACAGGCACTGCTGGTTAGAAAGTGTTACCAGAGGGGAAATACCATACCAATTTGCAATCAGTATATCTAAACCCATTAACAAATACCAGTTGACAATGGTCTAAAGTTTAACACACATATTATCATCTTATACTGGACCTCAAGGCGTCCTTCATGCCCAAATCAAGCAAAGTATGTTTTCATCCAGTGAAATATGTTTAGTCAATCGCGATTTTCACAGGAGACTAAAATGTCAATCTTAAAACACAAAGTTTCTTAAAGGTTACCGCCTAAACATCCCAGTATTGCTTCATGTAGGTTTCATATATGATTAATTGATGTTACCCTGTGTCGTGTTTATGTGGCTTTGACGCTGTATTTACGTGGTGCCAAGGTAACGAAGTGTAAGCTCATTGTGTTCCGCGCGTCCCTCGGGAGAAACTATATCGATTGGACTCTGCTTATCGGTTCCATGTTGGACGTACAACGTCAGTGTGGAGGTATATTTAAACAGCTTTGAATGACTGACTTACCGCAATCAGATAACCAACGAGTGCATTTTGCTGTTAGGTGACTACCGGCTTCAGGGTCGGCACCTTCGGTTTCCCTACATTGAGATACACTACTTCATTACGTTTCGGACAATATCGATGATATTTAGTGGAAACACTAATAATCAACATGTTTTCCACTGAGACGAATTTCAATTAGTTTTGATGGTGATTTGAAAGGTCAAACAACGCACATTCCTCAAAATTGTGACAAGTCACTGCTTATGAAAGAGGGCTATTTGCTCGTTTGACTCAACGTTTTCTCAAATATATCTAAATACAATACGATACGTAGAAATGAGTTCTAACGAAATGCCTTAGATGCCCCTATCTATGGAAACTTTACATAACCTCACTTAAACAAGACAATATCTGTTTGCAATAAACATTCAGTTTGCTATTTGAGTATCTTGACCTGAGAAAATGGTGTAATATGATGCTCCTATGCGATAACCATGGACATTCAAATTCGCATCAAAGGTTAAAGATATGTCTTAATGTAGACTTTTAAACCGTTGTGAACGAACCCCGAAAGGCATATAATAAAACATAAAGGGCTCCTTTCACGAAGCAACTTTTGCTAAGATTAACCTTAAGTCACATTCTTTAACATTGCACTAAGGTTACCTTAGTGACTTATGATGACCTTTAGTGCATTGTGAAAGGAGTCCCTGATTCATTATTCTTTCTCTCGCAGTGATAACCGTTACCTAACTGTTAACCTTGGTCTTTCCGTCTGACTATATCATAAATGTAGATTTAGGAAAGTTTAACAGAGCCCTCTCACAATTTCGTTGTAAGTCACACATGCTTGCCATTGAAATGGGCATATATATGTGAGCACTTTAGGAGAACAAACACTAAGCAGATATTGCAATAATGTCCGGTTATACATAACACAGATTTCTGTTCGATATGTTCTTTCACAATTCAAACGGTAGCAAATATGGTACATGTGTCACATATCACAGTATCAGTACTATAAACAATTTGTCTATGTACATATTCCATGCAATACATTATATAAATTTTAACACAATGTAACACATCCCATATCATGTACGATAAGTCTGTGTCATCCATCAGTTTTGTGATTATTCAGAATGATTACAAACATATATTTTCATTCATAATCACCTTTCCACCTTCGCATAATATTCGACAATGACAAAGCAAAATTGCCTCCTGGCTAACCCTTATCAATGCCGACGGGAAAACCATCGATGGCCAAGGTCTCCCGGCAACGGACAAGCACCATCTGCTGGGATAAACAATCCACAATTTCGTAACAACCTATTTACTGCTCCCGGTTAACTCTAAAACTTAAGAGGATCTATGCGCGGAATATGATTTAGTTTACGTTTTTGTGGGGAAACACTGATAGTTATCATTTACATATTTCCATATTCATTTGCGAATATGTTCACATTTAATTCTCAAATATAATTTGGAAGCACCTTAAAAGTTTCTAATTATTTTTGCACTCGTTTATATCATGCGGCAATTCCCACTCAAGCAAAACGCTTATGGTGTACGATGTTTCATTTTCATTACTTATGTTTAATTATATTTTAAAATGCAAGCATAATGAAATCTACATCACTTAATAATACCATATAACCGTACAGGTTAACTGAAATAGTTATACTGGCTGTAAACTGCTTGCACCCCTTCCTCCCGAAGATGCCAAGACACCCCTTCTCTACCCATCCCCAGTGTTGGTGTCAGTGTGTAACTGGTAACTAGTTGAAGGTTGTTGGAATTAATCAATAGTGTAAAAGGAATTGATCTCTGAGTTTGTAACCAAATATTTTACAATACCTTTATCAGATAGTACAATGTTTCTTTCATGAACAGTAGCGTATAATGATATAGAAATAAATTTAAAAAACGAAGAATGGTCATCTTCACCTGAGCGCCCGCACAAATAAGTATTAGTTAATAATACATATATGTACCAGATTTATGACTTCTGACTGAACTATTCTGTAATATCAGCCTTCACAATGCGTTTTAGAAGATGGTCAAAAGCAACACGTTACATTTGAGATTACACTTTCTTTAGTAAAGGCCCATCTGGGATTCGAACCTACACCCTCAGAATCAGGCTCTTAATCGCCAGCACTTATAGTCAAGCCGTCTAACTCGCTTAGCCACCACGACTTCCACAAGGTGGATGAGTTAGGGGGAAAGACTATAATACTGTAATTTACCATTTCTTTCATTTTTTCCAATTAATCTTTGTTTTGATTTATTCCA